ATTCCGACTTATGGCACCCCGTGAATGAAAGCCTCCACACTGTCCTACTCAGCTCTTCTGAATCCAAGGTCGGGGCTTCCTTTAGGGAGTCCATCCATCTCATATTGGCTGCCCCCCTTAAACACTGCAGAACTCGATAACCCAGTGCCTAAAACATTATCTCTGTACATCTATTGGGCTTTACAGAAATAAAATCAATTTTATTTTTATTCCTACTCTCACCTACTACAGTGACTTGGTCTTCCGCCATTACAAATTAATCCAAGATTAAGTTGAATGCATCGCCAACATTTTGGATACTCTCTTTATAGAACCTGGATGCCCCAAAACAAACAAAGCCTTTGCTGGATTAATTTTAAAGATCTGATGCAGCTATTTCAATATTCTGAAATAAACACTCTCTTTCTTGATCTGAGAGTTAACTGCATTATTTACTGATCTATGTATGCCAAAAGCCATTTTTTTCCTGCGGGGGAAAAATGCAAACGACAGTTTACGTAACCCTCCCACACTCCAATGCAACATGCCTGTGATTTCTCATGTTCTTTTAAGCACTGGTCAATAGGAGACAGCCTCAATTGCAAAATGTGGGGTGGAGGAAAAGTTGGTCCGTTGATCTTCCCAGGATTGTCCCATATCTTGGCAATTCCAGGCTATCTCCCAGTTCTTTTCCTCTGGTGGAAAAGCAGGAAGGACGCTGCTCCTCCGGCATCTCTGCAGTTTCAGAGCTCCAACTGCTAAAATTCCTTGCCACAAGGAATGCATCGTGCACATTTTTGGGCTTAGCTTGGTTGGACTCAAGACCTGGGGGCTCGTGAGAGGAATAGAAGTGGATTTTGAGGAGGGTTTGAAGGAAAAAAGGTGGGGGGGGGTTTCTGGGAGGCCGATGGAGGAATACGGATCAGCAAAATATTGCCGGAATCAATTATAATTTATATTAAAAGGCATTTTTATACTGCTTTTCAGTTCTAACCACGGTGCTCTAAACAGTTTACACTGAAAAAAAACAAATCAGAAAACAGAAAGAAAGGAGAGCTATTATCTGAAGGTTCAGTCCTGCACCCGAGTAGTAGTTCCATTAAAAGCCAAGGAGAATAAGAATGCTTTCACTGTTTGCATGATATTTTCCAAGAATTCCTTAACCAAGGTGCTGCTACAGAAAAGGCCCTGCTCTACCTTTCAACCCACTGAGCCTCTCTTGGTGGTGGGACAAAACCAGGTCTCCAAAGAGGATCCTAACACACAAACAGGTTCACACAGGAAGCAGCGCGCTTGCAGGTATCTTGGGCTCAGGCCTGCCATTCCTGGAAGGCAGAACGTTTTTCTTCTTTGAGATGCAGGCAGGCATGCTAACAGTACAGTCATCACTCTGGTTAACAATGGAGCAGTATGAAACGTTGGCTTCTGCCAACCCCGGGACTGGGTTCATACAGCACATTAATCCCCCAACTAGCCTGAGCTTCTGCGGGGGAGGCTGGAATCATAGGAGAGAGAGAATAGGGTAGAATAGGAGAGTTGGAAGGGGCCTTGAAGGCCATCAAGTCCAACCCCCTGCGGTTGCAGGACACCAAGTCACACCACCCCACTCCGGTGGCTGCCCAGTTTCTTTCTGAATGTCCCCAGTGTGGGAGAGCCCCCCACCTCTCCAGGCATCTGGTCCCACTGCCACATTGCTCTGACAGTGAGGAAGCTTTTCCTGACGTCCAGCATGAATCTGGGTTGTTGCAACTTGAACTGATTACTCCGTGTCCTGCACTCTGGTATCAGCAAGACGAGATCTTGACCTCCCTCTTTGTGGCAGCCTTTGGGGTCCTTATAGAGGGATATCATGTCCCCCCCCCCCTCAGTCTTCTCAAGGCTGAACATGCCCAGTTCTCTCTGTCCCTCCTCCAGCACATCTTTGCAATGTCAGCCCTTTCAAATTTGCTAAAATTCTAGAAACACAGACTGGTAGAGTTGGAAGGGGCCATGAAGGTCATCGAGTCCAACCCCCTGCGCTTGCAGGACACCACGTTACACCATCCGACTCCGGTGGCTGCCCAGTTTCTTTCTGAATGTCCCCAGTGTGGGAGAGCCCACCATCTCTCCAGGCAGCTGGTCCCACTGCCGTATTGCTCTGACAGTGAGGAAGCTTTTCCTGACGTCCAGCCTGAATCTGGGTTGTCACAACTTGAACTGATTATTCTGTGTCCTGCACTCTGGCATCAGCAAGAAGAGATCTTGACCTTCCTCTTTGTGACAGCCTCTGAGGTCCTTATAGAGGGATAAACTTAGTAAACTTATTTATTTGTTCACGTGTTATATGCCGCCTATAACTGCTCAAAAGGCCTCATGCAGTAAACAGCACATTACATTAAATCCTCCATGGCCGGGCATGTCATCTGAACCAGGGAAATACGCCAAGCCATGGTTAAGTCAAAAGAAACCCTTGCCAAGAAAGGGCTGTCGCTCTGGCCAAGAGGCCCTGGCCAAGAATGAGGTGCCCAAGCAGGACTTGCATGGTGTCACTAGATTCCCGACGCCACACTTTATTTATTTATTTATATTGCGATTTATATCCTGCCTTTTTCCTACAAAGGGCTCAAGGCAGCTAACATCTTTCTCCTCCTCCATCTTATCCCCACAACAACACCCCTGTGAGGCAGGTTGGGCTGAGAGTCTGTGACTGGCCCAAAGTCACCCAGTTGGCTCCATGGCTGAGCGGGGACTCGAACCCAGGTCGTCTGAGTCCCAGTCCCACGCTCTTAACCACTACACCACACTGGCTCTGGAGAGAGCAGGGTTGCTCGCAAGTAATCCCACTCTTCCAGCACCAGCAGAAGCACAAAGGAAAGCTACTGGATCAAGACATCTGCCACACGTTCAGCTCCTGCCAGGCAGCAGGGCGAGGCGGCCCAGCCCTGCTGCGGCTGAGAAAAAGCCACTCTGCTCTCGTCCTTCTGATCTGCTCTTCTGCGCTTGACAGAAGCACAGGGTGGGGAAAAACACGACAGCTGCTAAAAGTGCCACTTGTAACAATAAAAGGCTTGTAAACTATGCTGAGAAATTCAACAAAGTCCTGAATTTAATTGATAAAGTTCCCATCATGCATGCACAGAGGCGCGATCTTAAGTTGTACGCGTCCAGGAAAACACTTTGAAAAGTCCCGGTCCATGCTAGCAAACACGTTGCATTCAGCACGGAAGAGTCGGACTAGAATGCCAACTGCTCCCAACTAGCATAGCCATTGGAGTCCGAGTGATGTAATGGTAATTTAACAGGTCAAAGTCAACCATGTGAAAATTTGCCCACCAGAAATGCAGCAGGAAAAGTTTCTCCTTGCCTTGGCACAGCCGTTCGGCATCCCATGAACTGGGAACAACGCACCTTGTGCCCCCCACCTTGTGCTTCTCCCCACCCCCACCACTGCAAGTCCTGAAAAACCAGGAAAACCCAGCTTCAGGACAGAAATGGAAGTGAACGAAGAGTCTTGCCCTCAGGCACCTGAGCAAATAAACGCCTGGATGGATTACTGAGTGACCTCCAAACCCTGACACAGCTTTTATTTTGGGGTGGGGGTGGAGGAATGCTTATCTGTTAATGGCAGACCACTTCTGGTTCACACATAGGGTGCGATCCTGCAAAAGTTTAGACAGAAAAGCGTCCTGATGCCCCAGAATTCCCATGGCTGGCTAGGGAATTCTGGGAGCTGCTGGATTCCCACCCCCCTCTGAATAGGAAGACGATTTTACCCTTCACTAGGTTATTCTAGGTGGATAAAATGTTCCAATTGTTCTGCATTTCCTGCCCTGCTGTAAATCTAACATCAACTCTGTAAAGTTGGTATTATTGTCTCCCAATGCAAGGAAAATGACAATCAAAGCTGTTAATATTAAATTTACTTATACCCCACCTATTTCCAGTGCTGGAGGACAGTCTGCATAAGCCCCTCTAGAGTGCCTGGCAGAGGCAGGATACAAATCCAGAAATTCCTAACTCTCAGATCCAGTGCTTTGAAATTTTATTTTAGTACGTGGACATTTTATTTCAATATACTAAACTGGAAAACTGAAGTAGCATTTTAAGGGACAGAGCATCGTGTCAACTCTGGGTGACTTTGCAACTTTGTTGTCTAGTAAACTGAATGGAAGCCAGAATAACTTTATTCTTTATGGGAAGCAAGAGTCCACCTGCGTGTTTCTTCCCTGCAGATCCCTAAAATTTTATTTATTTATTTATTTAAAACATTTCTATGCCGCCCCATTCGCAAAAAGTCTCGGGGCGGCTTACAAAACAGAATCGTTCACACAATGAACCTTAAAAATTTTGGAGACATTTCGGCACGGTATAAAACCCAATATAAAACCCAATAAATAATTAACAATTAAAATAACTTTTAAATAAAAAGGTCTTGGCCTGACACCAAAAAACAAATAACAAAGGCACCAGGCGGACCTCTCTGGGGAGCACATTCCATAGATGGGAGACTTTAGACCCAGGAAGAAATGCAGACTTCTGAAGCACCTTTTCAGTTACTGATTTCATTGGAAAGGCATTATATACAAAAGAGCTGCTCTTCTCTCAATCTCCTTCACTGTTCGGAACAAACAGCACTAGCGCCATGACAAACGTCTACCTTGCAGGGATGCTGTTAGGATTCCTGCAATGACATACCGCACTTTACCAAAGTGCTTATTTGGTAGTTACATCCCACCTTTGCCTCCCAGTAGTTCAATGTGATCTTTCTCTTTCCCATTTTTTTCTGCACAAAGGCGACCCTGGGCGACAGGTTAGGTCCAGAGGCCCACGCCACCCGGGGGAGTTTCATGGGCCAGGAGGGACTGGAGCCCGGATCTCCGCGGCCCGGCCCAGCCCTTCACCAGGACACCGCACGTGCTCCCCAAAACCACACCTCGCGGGCGCGCGTCCTGACTGACTGCAGGTGATGCCTTGCGCAAGGGGCAGCCCCTGCCCACCTCGCGGGGCTGTTGTGCGCGCGAACCGCGGCCGCCGGGCCCCACCTGTGATGGTCTCCTGGTAGCCCTTGGTGAAGAACTGCATGGCGGTGGCGGCGCGCCAGGGCGTCTTGAGCAGCCCCTGGCGCTGCGGGTCCTCGCCCAGGGCGCGCAGGATGGTGGCGTAGGCGGCCGCCAGCCCCGGCAGGTTCATCTCGTTGTCCTCCTCGCTGCGGGTGCGCTCCTCCTTCCAGCTCTCCAGAGGGTGCGCGCTGGCGTCGGCCTTCGCGCACCGGGAGGGCTCCGCGGGGCGGCTCGGCGGCGCCTTCTCCGCCGGCGCGTAGCCGTTGTAGCTGGCGGTGCGCAAGGGCGGCTTCATGTTCTCCATGTGCTCCAGCGGGGCGGCTCCCGGGCGTGCGCCCCGGAGGCTCTGGCGCCGACGGGGTCGCGCCCGCGGAGTCCGGGTCGGGCGCGCCGAGGGCTGCGCGCGTCAGCGGGACTTTCGCGGCCACCAGACCCCGGAGAGCCCTGCCCGCCGCGGGCAGCCCCCCTCGGCCGCCGGAGAGTGGCCCCGGCGGGGCGCAGGAGCCGCTCGCTCGCCTGCCTGCCTGCCCGCGCGGTGGAGCGCAGCCCTTGCGCCCGGATCGCTCGGCGGGCGGAGGAGCGGGAGAAGAGCGCGGCGTCCCCGGAGCGCCCGCTGCGCGCCTCGCTTTCTCCTCCGTGCCGGCCCGGCCCGCTTTATAGCGCGGGCGGCCGCGGCCGTGCCCTCGCTCATTGGGCCCCGCCGTGCGTCACCGGCCCCGCAGCCTGTAGGAGGTCCGGGCCGGCGAGATCAACAGGCGGAAGCGGCTGGCAGTGCGCGAGCGGGCGGCGGCGGCGGCTGGAGGGGCCGCGCCCCCTGCGCGGCGGGGAGCCGGTCCCGGGCCGAGGGACTCCTCCCGGTCGCGGCCGAGGCGAGCGGCGGGCGGCCCCCGCGTGGGAAGCGCCGCGTCGTCCCGGGCCGGGGGATCCCTGCGGAGGCGCCTCCGACGGAGCTCGCCTGGCCCGCCTGCCCCGCGCAGACCAGGCGCAGCCGTGGCGGAGGAGCCCTGCGTGAAGAGGGGCCTGGAAGCCCTCCTCGCCCGGCTTTCCCGGGGCCCGGCAGCCCCATCACGGCCACCTGCTGCAGCGGCGCTTCCAAGCGCTCTGGCGCGTCTGTGCGCGGTGTCCTCGAGGAGGCCTTTTCCCAAGGACCCTCCGCTCTCAGAAGGGGCTGCAGCGGAGAGCGGAGAGGCGGGCGCTGCACTTCAGAACAGCCTTCAGGCAGAGAGATTGGGAGGGGAGCCGTGGCAGACGGAGCGGGGGGGCGGGGGGCAGAAGCCGGCTCATCCTTGGCGGGGCGATGGCAAAGAAGTCAGAAGCAGCCCTGCCAACACATGACTCGTGCCAGCAAATGCTGCTTTACACCTATGGGTGCAGGTGCGTGGTTGCTGTTACGCGCCATGAAGCGGTCTCCAACTTATGGTGGCCCCAGGAATGAGGACCCTCCGAAATGTCTGGACTGGGCCTGCCCTGCCCAGCTCAGCTCTTGGGAACTCAAGGCTGCGGCTCCCTGGATGGAGTGAGTCCCTCTGCTTTTCCTCCTCTCCTCCTGCCCTCTGCTTCCCACAGCACTGTCGTCTTCTGCAGGAGTCTCGCCTGCTCGGGTTGTGCCTGAAATAGGACAGCCTCCATTTTGTCACGTCTGCTTCCGGGGCAAGTTCTGGCTCGAGTTGATCCAGGACTGCCTTGTTCGTCCTTCTGTCAGTCCAGGTTATTCACAAGCTCACCTCCAGCTCCGTGTTTCACATACACGAACTGTTCTCCTGGCACTGTCTAACTTTTGGCCCCTAGCAATAGAAAATAAACGTGCTCCATCAGCTATGGGGTGTCATTCGGAGACTGTCATCTCCGGAAGAATCATCCCCTATTTCTTCCACCTTTCCTCCTAAGACTTGGTCTCTCGCACGACATTTGCTGCCCTCCTCTGGACACATTCCAGTTTGTCAATGTCCTGAGAACTGCGGGGATCCGAACCGAGCATAGTAATCCGGGTGAATCAAGGCGGAGAATAGGGTGGGAGAGACAGCCTTGAACTTGGAAGAGCTGAAGGGAGCTGCCATAGGACCTTCTGGAGGGCTTTCGTTCAAAGGGTCGCCGCAAGTCAAAGACAACTTGATGGCACATCACAACAACAAAAACCATTGCTTCTCGTGACCTGGACACTGCTCCTCTCATGAAACATCCTAGAATTCTTTTTTTTAAGTCAATTTTATTATTGTTGTTCTACAAACTAACAAAAAGAAACTAAAAAACATCAATCATCAGAAACATCAAACCTACTGGGTCAGCCCCCTAATTTTTTTTTTTATAGCAAGCCATAAACATATTCAAGTCTACGCATAGTCCCGTTTCTCTAGCCAATAATAAAAAGAGTTCCAAGTTTGATAGAAGTATGTAACCTCTTTCCCCTTCAGAGACAAAGTCAGCCTGTCCATTTCAGCGCAGTCCAAGATCTTTTTTAAAATCAGCTCATCAGTGGGTGGTTCTTCACTCCTCCAGTGTTGGGCAAATGCAATCCTTCCCACAGTGATTACATGTAGATACATCCTAGGATTCTGTTTGCTTTTTATCTGTGGCATCAAGTCCTGTTTCTCTCGGACTGACCTTGAATCCTGGTTGGTATTGGCTGCCCCTTCCAGGGACATGTCATCTGCAAATTTCAGGAGCAAACCCTCTCCTTCACACTATTTTTAAAGATGTTACACGACTCGGGGCCCAGGACAGAATGCTGCACCGATGCACCTGTCAAACCTCTCCGAGCTGACAAAGCAGCACCGGTCACAATCCATCCAGTCTGCTGCAGACCCAGTGCAGGCATAATGGAGCCCACATTTTACTGGTCATCTGTGCTCAGCACCTCCTGAAAGAGGGTTTGCTCATGACCAGGCCTGGGAGGTTGTCCATGTGGCGAGTCCCCTCTGTGCAAAGCAGCGGCTCCTCCAGAAGGCACCTGCCCGCACATAATGCACACCTGGGGAAACGCTTCGCAACACTGGCCGTGCATACCCTGGAAACGTGTCCTGAAATTGCCCCAGATCTTCTAAAAATTGCACTTCTTGCTTATTGGAATCAATCCTGAGTCATTCGGCGAAATTATTTATCATATGAAACCGCTGGGAGAGGTCATCCAGAGGTTTGGGCTACAGAGTCACCAGCACGCTGCTGACACCCAGCTCTACCTCTCTTTTACCTCGAGTGCAGGTGAGGCAGTGGCTGTCCTTAACAGGTGCCTGGCTGAGGTAATGGGCTGGATGAGGGCCAATAAACTGAGGTTCAATCCGGACAAGACAGAGGTCCTGTTGGTGAGCAGTTCTGCCCCCAGATAGGTGTTTCCAACCCTGTCCTGGACGGGGTTGCACTCCCTCGAAAGGACAGGGTCCGCAGCTTGGGAGCGCTCCTCGACCCGAGCTGTCCCTGGAGTCTCAGGTGATTGCAGTGGTGAAGAGCGCTTTCTTTCAGCTTCGGCTGGTCCATCACCTGTGCCTAGCAAGGTGACCCATGCTCTGGTAACTTCCTGATTGGATCACTGTAACACACTCTATGTGGGGCTGCCCTTGAAGATGGTCTGGATACTTCAATTGGTCCAGAATAGAGTTGCCAGGATGTTAACGGGGACCAGAAAGTATTCACATGTAACACCGGTCCTCTATCACACTGGTTATCAATTGCAGTCCAGGCCCAATTCAAGGTGCTGATAAAGCCCTAAACGGCTTGCGTCCCAGGTGCCTGAAGGAGCGTCTTCTTCCCTATCTGCCCTTCTGCCCCTTGAGACCTGAGGCAGAGGTCCTTCTTCGGGGGCCCTCCTTGAAGATTAGGAGAGTGGCTACCCAGAGAAATGGTGGATGGGGTATAAATGATAAATAAATAAATCCACCCCACATCCCAATTGTGGTCTTCCTGAAGGCTTCTGGTGGGAACTGGGAGGAGGAGGAGCTTGGACTGGCAGGCCCTTGATCTGGCCCAGCGGAGCTCTTCTCAGGTCCTTAGGCTGCCACATTCATTTTAAAATAGTGCTGGAACAATCCATTAGCAAAGCTCAGTTTTCCAGTTTCCAATGAAGAGCCCTCCTTTCGATGTATTCCTTCCCCAGGGCCGTCTCGACGCGTGGGCCTGAGGGGCACTTGCCGGTGGGCCCCATACTCATCTGTGTATGCTAACCCTTGGAAAATTGGAAAACTTCCACAATTAACAGTAGTTGTGGTTGTCGTAGGGGCCCCAGGACACTGCTTTGCCCGGGGCCCATCAGGCTGTTAAGACGGCCCTGACCCTCCCTGGGGTGTCCCCACAGAAGCACCATCTGTTGTAGCTGCCATGAGATTTCAGTCTTGGAGCAGGCCCTCTGTAAAAAGAAGGCCCGCCTTTGCCTGTCCAGCAGCGCCAGGGTCCCCGCTGCCGTCTGCCGCACAGCAGAGAGGAAATTATAGGCTGCTAGCACAGAGCACGGGAGCCGTGTCACAAATGCACATGAGTGACTCATTTCCTCTCCACCCCTTGGATGCTACTGACAATACAAATGACGGAGAAATTAGGCACAGGGGGCGGCTTGCAGGCCCCCAACCTCACAGCAGTCCAGCTGCAATCCATGCAGCTGCAGCGAGACAAGATGGTCACAGCTGGGCCAGAAGAGCAAACGATGCCCATCCTCCCCGGCCCCCGCACCCCAAGCTATGGTCGTAACACGAAAAGCTTGGCCAAGTCGTTCTGGCTCCGGTGATCAAGCACGACCCATTTGCTGCCCAAATGAGTGGCAGAGGAGTGTCCTCATTTTGTACTACCGATGCTCTGGGACACCGCCGCTGCCACTTTCTGGCAGGCACGGTGCAAAGAGGCAGCAGCCCTCCCCCACCCCCTCCCCTGAAGTGGTACAATCCAGGGCGGGTGGGAGGCTGCAGCCCTGCCGTTTCCACAACCCGACCATTGCCCAACATCGCTCGGGGGTGGGGGAGGCAGTCACAGGCTCACCATCCAACCCAGAAGTCATGCCTTTAGCTCCCTCGACTGGGTGCACCGAGAACGGGATGGGTGGCCAGGCCCACAGGGACGAAGTTCCAGGCTCCATGCACTTCATGTCTGCAACTTATCTTTGTGCAGCTTATGCTGGGTTTGAGACGGATCCCCCCCACCCCCAGTGTTTTAATCATTAGATGCCTGCCTTGTGAGAGGGGCGCTGCAGATTGGATGAGGTGCCTATGTCACGTCTATTTAAATCCTGAAAATCAAGGATGTTGTGAGCTGGGCTTCTCCCTCCACACATTCAGAAGTTGGACCTTTTTGCTTGCATCGTGTTCTTGACTGACCAAAAAGCACAAAACACCCGAATGAATCTCTGAGTGGTTTAGAAACATAGAAACAGAGCGAGTCAGAAGGGGCCTCCCGGGCCATCTAGTCTGACCTCGGCACCAGCCGGCTCCGCTCACGACGTGCCCACCAGGTGGACGTCCAGCCTATCCTTGAACACCCTCACCGATGGGGCCTCAACGACCTCTCGTGGAAGCCCATTCCACACCCTCGGGGTCCTGACTGTCAGGAAGTGCTTCCTGGCATCCAAACGGAACCTGGGTTCCCTGAGCTTTGCTCCGTTGGAGCACATCCTGCCTTCCTCTGCAGGGGAGAACAATTTGTCGAAGGCAATCTAGTATTCACCTCCAGGAACTCTCCTTATGAGCCTGCCTGGGCCTGATCCCTTTGCGAGGGTCCTTCTGAAAGAAAGCACGCCGATCCTCTAATTCAGCCGCCCTCCTCTGCTAGCGGTGCAGCAGGCAGCCAAGAGTCCCAGAAACTCCCCTGCCCCGAGTCCCTCCCCTCCCGCCAGCTGTGCACCTTGGCTATTCCCAGGGACTGCCTGCCCAGCTTGGCCTTGAGGGAAGCGCCTCCGTCTCTCACCTCAGTGTCTCAGCGTGGCCCACCTTCCCAGGCTCCCTGCTGTTCTGCTTCACTTTCCAATTCCAGTTCCTCTGCAGCACCCCCGGCCCACAGTCCTTGAGAACAAGTGCCCAAAGCAGCGATCTCTCTCACTCCCCAAAGACAAACTGTACACAGAGTCTGTCCACAGCAAGCCAAAACCACATTCGGTGCTGCTTCTCCAGGCAAAAATCCTTCCCCGTTCAAACCCCCATTCCGCTGTAGTACTTCTATCAGAAATATTTCAACGGGCAACACATTTTCATACAGTGCCGTCCACACCCAAGTCGCATTGTGATTATTGCATTAGTTGCATCTGAGCTTTACCACTGTGATGCACTGTGGTGAGATCACAGGGAGTGGGAAAGCCATGGAATTTATCCGAGGGGCAGGCTGCTGGGCTCTAGAAGGAAAATCGCAAGAGAGAAAACAGCAAGCTGTCTTCCATACTCTTACACAACATCTTACATTTTCTGCGGAGTGTTGTCTGTGAAAAGAAAGCCCTTTTCCTCAGCCAACTTTGCCTGTCAATGAAAAGATGATGGTTGCAAAGAACCTCAGGAAAAGATATCATTTCAGCCTCCAGAAGACAAGAAGGGGAGGAAAAGCATAAATACTGCAGAATTTCAGCTACTTCGAATATATCTTTACACCATCAAGAGGTCTGCAGGGATTGTATGCATCGCAAAGGAAGAATGATGTGCCCAAGAGATTAAGCAAGCTATGCAGCCTCCGGAGCCCCATGGACAACTGTCCAAATTTACAATTTATTTTAACCTTTTTCACATTCCCATGCAGCCATCTTTTCCCCCAAGTTAAAATGTCCAGGTTTTCAAAAAAACAAAAACAAAAACAGAAACAAAAACAAAAAGCAGGCCCTTGTTGTGAGCGGAGCCCGCTGAAGCCAGGGATCAGACTAGATGGCCCGGGAGACCCCTTCTGACTTGCTCTGTTTCTATGTTTCTACACAAGATTATCCTTTTTCCTAATAATTCTAGTTGCCAGGTCTACTAAACTTTGTAGCTCCTCCAGGCCTACTAACTATGCAAACCTATTAATGTCAGCTTAGAAATAAGCCCCAGTAGCTTACAGCCTCAATCTCTTTATATAAAGTAATCCTCACTGTATACGTGACTCTCTGTCCTTCCCTCCAGGTTTCACTCGGGACTGATACAGTAAAGGATTTTGTACCTCAATAACTGCTCCAGAAATTATTACTTTTCCCCACCTGTAACTCTCTTCATTAACAATGTATAGTGTAGAAATCCATCCTTTCCTTACAAGCCCTTAAGGTTACACTGAATAGCTTTTATAATGTGCATTTCTCCCCAGAGCAAATACTGTCTACTTTCAGTGGCTTGTAGAATTGATTTTGTTTCGTTTTAGATTTACTGTCGATAGCTGTCTTAAAGCTTCAGTGGTACAGTAAAATATACTTTTAGAAATACATAAAACATTTGTTCACAGTTTCCTTTAGGCTCTGTGTGGTCCTCTATCCAGGTCATTTTGGGGGGTTTTCTTTTTGCCTGCTTGGTAAAAATGTAGTATCTGGCCAGGCCATTCAGCAGGGCTGGTAACGTTCAAAAAGATTACACATGCAGAAGAAATAGGTAATACTGCTTGACGTAAATCCCAGAGTTCTTTGCATGTTAACGTTCTTCAGCACACAGAAAGAAGCTCGCTGCCTTTGTATTTCTTTACTGATCTACAGCAAAGGTGGTATGTTGTAACAGACAAGACTCTGAACCTTGCTTTCAGATAAAGGCTACGCTAAGGTCAAATATTATTTAACCTTGTTTAATCAATAGTCAAAAGAGCTCCAATCCTAAAACTTCAAACTTCTCAAAAAGAGACACCGAGGATGCATGTAGTCTAAGATTTACCTTACTCAGTAGCTGAGATCAGCTGTCCTCAGTCTGTGGTCCTCCAACATGCCGGAGTACAATTCCCATCAATCTCCTTTTTATATGCTTAAAATGTTTCACATATATTTCTCGTCCTGCAGTCACAGGATTTGCAGTCAGTCAACTGTGGTTCAAAGGACCGAATTCCCCTAAACTACTTCCATGGGAGGTCGTTGAGGCCCCACCGGTGCGGGTGTTCAAGGATAGGCTGGACGTCCACATGGTGGGCATGTTGTGAGTGGAGCCGGCTGGAGCTGGGGGTCAGACTAGATGGCCCAGGAGACCCCTTCTGACTTGCTCAGTTTCTATTTTTCATGTTTCATTTTGCAGGGTACTGAAAGGGGCTGGCTCCAACAGAGCCAAGCTTAAGGAACCAAAGTTCAATTTGGATGCCAGAAGGACTTCCCAACAGTTAGGACCCCGAGGGTGTGGAATGGGCTTCCACGGGAGGTGGCTGGGGTTCCATCGGTGAGGGTGTTCAAGGATAGGCTGGACATGCACATGGTGGGCGTGTCGTGAGTGGAGCCGGCTGGAGCCAGGGGTCAGACTAGATGACCGGGAAGACTCCTTCCAACTCGCGCTCTGTTACTCCTGAAACAAATGTGCAGCGTCTTTTATCATCTGGCATTTCCTGTAACCCCCTCAAGAAAAGGACAAGAGGAGAGTTGTAGCACTGAAACGCATGTTCCCCCTTAGGGTGGATTCCTTAACAACCAACCTGTTCAGCTACCTGGACAGAGAAGACCGCCTTGTACGGAATCCGATGGGCCAAAGACCCCAGCAAGCCACTTGGCCAGGCTGGGATCATGAGATACTCCAATGGGGCTGAGGCTTTTGCACAGGGCAGGATAGAAATGCCAGCAATAAACACACACACACCCAAACCTGGCCAGGGTGGCTTGTGGGGAGGTTTAACAAACCGCCATCACCAGGTTGGGACAACACAAGATGCTGTACCTGGCCAGGGTAATTATATAAACCGGACTGGCATTCACAAGTTGCCAGGTTGTTTTAACCACACTCCTCCAAGTGTACCAGCCACTGGATTGAAGTTGCAGGAAAGATTTGCATGTCTTTGTGCACAGTGGGGAGCAGGAACGAAAGCTGCACCTATTCAAGTCAGTGGTCGGTGCAAGACCAGCTGTTGGCAGATGGTGCATTTTCTGTATACTGGCATAATGTGTGATTTAACTGGACTGCTCACTCTGGAAGAAATTAACAGCCCTCTTGTCCTGGACCTTAAAAACACAAAACAAAAACCAAACAATGGTGACCTGAATCTCAGATATCCAGAGGGGAAGTAGTCTAAAAGCTGCTGAAAAGGAAAAAGAGTTAAACAGTTGAGATCTAAAAAGGTCTTTATTTAGTAACACCAGTAACACAAAATATGCAACATTCTAAGATTATTCTCCTGTATGTGGCTGGGGTTCCGCTGCACAAATCTGACGCAGCTTGTGTGACTCCTGCCCAAACTGGCCAAACTGCAGAAGGATCACAAGAGGTCTTCACCGCAAAGTCATCTCGCCTGCCAGCACACAACGAGGCGGGCAGAGGCATTTGCTAGCCTTGCTGGGTGACAGGTGAACCCGCCACGCCATCGCACCTGCAAAAGGCTTTGCTATGTTGCTCAACTTCGTCTAAAACTTTGAGAAACACGTAAACGGCAACTCAGTATCGACCCTGTGTGGTCTTCTGTTGATCCGTCAGGCTGCGTTTGCTCTTCTATTACTTCTTTGCCTCGCCAAATGGTAACACAGCATTAGAACAAACCTTATTCAGGGGGAACTGGTCCTGGCTTGGTGCAAAGGACCTACCAGGACCAGCTTCTGAGTGGCACAGTGGAAAACGGACACTGCTTCACACCTACAAACTCACGGAAAACTCATTTTGCAAGTAGCCTGTGCTACACAGAGAAAACATTAAGCCACATACAGTAGGTGTGTGACACTATTTCCAGGGTGCGCTGCTTCGCCTGGACGCTCAGCACCACCACAGATCCTTTGGAGGGCTGGTCTGTGCAGCAGCTTGAAGTTCGGCAAGGAGCCTTAGAAAGGCGTCGGTGGGCTTAGCTTTGCTTGTATGCAAACGCTGACAGCTTCGTGATGGTGGACTCCTCAAAGGATTTGGACTTTTTGGCTGAGCTGGTGTCTGCTTCTGAGGCCTGGACTTCAGCTTCCTGGCCGTCCCTCTTACCGGCTCCCAAGCGCTTCCTCTTTTTTCCTTCAGCTGGGTCACCAACTTCTCTTCCTTTGGCTTTCTCAGTCCAGGCCTGAGCAAAGAGAAACAACAACAAGCTGTTAGGAAACGGAAATTTGTCCCTTCTGTGAGTGCCACTGAATTGTCCTGGAAGTGTTCTGGAAGTGACCGTTTGGGCTAGCTTCCTGTCTTGTGCTAGCTTCCTGTTACACCGACAGTCATTCTTGCCAGGAATGGATAATGCCCTTACAACACGGGGAAAAGCCTGCAGCTCCCAGAATGGCCCAGGCAGCCAAGTCTTGCAGGCTGTTTTTCCATCCAAACATGCACAGGATTGCCCTCGGAGTTACTCAAGAGTCAGGGGCAAAAAGAGGTGAAGTAATGATCAACTGGGAAACTGAGAATGGGATGGGCCCGCTGCGCTATCACTTCCGTCTTCTCCCAGAGCAGCGTCAGCGGCCCATGCGCTAAACGCGGCACAGGAGAGCTGGCCTGGGGTATGCGGTGCGACACCGACAAAGCAGGAGCTGTGATGAGGTGGCTCGTGCCAAAGCGTAACTGTGGAGGCCCAGGGCCTCATCGCCACTCGGCCACAACGTTCGCGGGGTGGCTGGGGGGGTGGCAGGCACCCTCTCTCAGCCCAAGCTTACACTGGGGAGAGAAAACGGGCAGGGGAGCACCCACACGTGGCAGCCCAGCTCGTCGAGGGCAGGCCGGGGTAAAAATGTGAGCGAACCGAAGGCATGCAGCTCCCAGCGGTTTCCCAGGGACGTGCCCGGGAGCTTTTTGCACACTTCTGCAAAGAGCAGCTGTCGATAGTTCGTTTCTCATTTCTGGCACTTTCATGAACATCAAAAACAAACAGACTTGCTTTTTAGCTAGATGACCAGGAAAAAATGTTTACACTGTCTTTCCAGGGGAGAGGTGAGGAACATATGGGTCCCCTATGTTGTTGGGCTTTATTCCCAACAGCACGAGCCAGCATGACCGGTTTCAAGGATGATGGGAGATGCAGTCCACCCTTTTCCACCCCTGCTCAAGGTCATCTTCCTTCATTACTGGAGCCCTTTTTGAGGGTAAACCTGAACCACCTGTCCCTGGCATGTCCTGTTCGGTTCGTCTGCTAAATTCTGGTTCTGGAAGGTGAATATTACACGGTGCAGTGGGCAGGCCGGCCGTGTTGTTCCTGGGCAAGAACAGGCTTTGTGAAAGCTGCCCCGCTTATGAATCACAGAACAGTAGAGTGGGAAGGGGCTAAAAGGCCATCAGGTCCGACCCTCTGCTGTTGCAGGACACCAAGTCACACCGTCCCACTCAGGTGGCTGTCCAGACGCTTTCTTTCTTTCCTTCTTTCTTTCTTAATTAATTCATTAAAACATTTCTATCTTTCTGAATGTCTCCAGCAAGGGAGAGCCCACAGCTTCCCCAGGTAACAGGTTCCTGTCGCACTGCTCTGACAGTCAGGAAATTCTCCCTGGTGTCTAATCTAAATCTGGCTTCTTTTAACTTAAGTCCACTGTTCCATGACCTGCACTCTGGAATGAACAGGAAGAGATCTCGTTTCTTCCTCTTAGTTTGCAGATTTTCTGTTGCTTTTTGTTCTGTTGTCTGGTCACTGAAAGAAGAGCACTGAACTTTTAAGGAACATATGAAAATTTAATGCACACCCCTCTAAAAGGTTTTTTTTTAATTGCTCCAATCTGCACACCTCAAAAAAGGCTGGTCCGCAAGTCCATGGAATCCTCGGGTCTTCCCTTTCAGCACGTCTGAAGGTGCCAAGCAAGGGACCTCTCCAATTTGGCCCCTTCCAGGTGTCTTGGACTGCAGTTCCCAGGTAGAGGTTACCCAACCAACCTGGAAGGTGCCCAGTTGGGGAAAGGCCTCGGGAGATCACCATTTTAGCGGCTACGTACCTCTAAGTTTTCTCATCCTGGCGCAGCAGGAGGCAAAACAGAAAACAATGCAACCTGACACTGAGATGAACAATTGAGCTCAGCATATTCTGGGAGAAAGTGAAAAATTGGGGTTTCCACAGCATTGATGAACAAACAAAAGATAAAGCCCTCCATGAGGGGATTCATTTACCATCCTTTCTTCGGAGGAAAGCGCTCTGAATCGACTCATGCCTTCTTTTATTATTTCTGTTTCTTCCAAATGAGGATCGTCTGCCAGAATAGAGCTTCTGTTCTCTTCAAGCCACATCTGGAATCCAGTCTTGGGCCTGAAAGGAACACAGAAGCACTTCGATTTGGGGAAAGGGTCCTCGAATGCAAACTCGCGCTGCCTGCCGATGGCTCTGTTCCCACACCAGGATTTGTCAGGGGGCAGGAGGGTCCCCGAGAGGCAATGAGGCAAAAGCCTCACGCTCTGACCGTTTACTGTCGCTGTCCGCAGGCATCGCCGGCGAAGCGGCTGGGGCGGGTTCCACTCCTTCTGCTCCCTCTTTGCTGGTTCTCTTTTCAGTGCTAGGTGTTCGGGGTTGGAAAAACGCAGCTGCTGGCACCTACATAAGAGAATGAAGACTTCTAAAATTCACAGCAAATGTATTGTTTACACACACAGTTCAGGCTATAAGCTCTTTGGGGCAGGAAGGTCTCATTTCATGGGAAGGCACCTATCCCAAGGAAGGGGTTTTCCAGCTGGTTTTAGCCCTCGCTAGTAGTTTTAAATGCATCGTTAATTCATTCTGAGAGAAGGAGGCTGTGAGATTAACAAGTATGTTCGGCTGTTCAGTGTTCCTTCTCTGGCATTCATGGACCTGGGAGTGGACATGGCCACAAGATCCCGATTCCTCCCAGTGTTTCCTTATACGTCAGAAGGCGGGGATTGCACCCTCTCTAGGTTTCTCTTTGGGGGACAGAAATGCAGTTTATCACAGTGAAGCCTGAGGACTATCCGCCCCTCCTTCCTACAAACTAAGTTCGGGTTTGGAGCCTTCCTTTCCCAAGGCCGCCTTTGCTGTGTGGCCTCCCTCATGCCCTTCCTTTATGGAGCAAGCCCTCTGCCTGCTCTCTCCCCCTTGCTTAAAAACTGAAAGCTGCCCTTCCCGCTCACTGGCTTGAGCAGGGATCTCCACAGCTCCTCCTACTTGGATGACCTGGAGGGAACTTCACGCTACTGCTATCGGTAGGGAGGCAAATTTTATCTCTTAGACTTGCCACATGAGATATTCATGAGTGATGCACCGACAATATAACCTTAACCCTCAGAGTGCTAGGAAACAGTTTACTGAAGTTAGAAGCAAACTCTTTAAAAGATGTACCATCAAGAGAAAACGAAATGCGTTGTAATCCATGTGCACAGCCCAATATAATACAGATTAGATCACTTATTACTCATGTTGGCTCTAAGTAATCTTAAGCTTTGCCTCAGTCGCTGAAGCACTTTACCAGTTGACATTACCAGTATCTGTGGCTCTGATGTTTAGCTCCCTTCTGAAAACTCATCTCTTTCCACTGGCTTTCCCCTGAGATGTGGCCAGTTATGTTTTGGCAGCTCCCAGCAGATGGTGTAATTTTACTGCTGATCTCTTTTTGTGTTGTTTTAATTATCATATTTATTGTTTTTATGCCATGGTATTTTAGGTCTACTGCTTTGAAACTTTTGTGGAAAGTAGCATATATATTCAAATAAAATAAAGATTATTAAGATAATAAAAATGCCATTGCACTATATTTATTTGATTTGGTTCAGTGGATCACAACAAATTGTGGCAAGTTCTTAAAGAGATGGGAGTACCAGACCATCTTATTTGTCTCTTGAGAAACCTATATGCGGGTCAAGAAGCAACCCTGAGAACTGGACACAGAACCACTGATTGGTTCAAAATTGAGAAAGGAGTTCGGCAAGGCTGTATACTGTCTCCCTGCCTATTTAACTTATATGCAGAGCACATCATGAGAAAGGCGGAGCTAGATGAATCACCAGTTGGAATTAAGATTGCTGGGAGAAATATCAACAACCTCAGATATGCAGATGATACCACTCTCATGGCAGAAAGTGAACTAAAGAGCCTCTTGATGCAGGTGAAGGAGGAGAGCGCAAAAGTTGGCTTGAAACTCAGCATTAAGAAAACTAAGATCCTGGCATCTGGTCCTATCACTTCCTGGCAAATAGATGGGGAAGAAATGGAGGTAGTGACAGATTTTATTTTCCTGGGCTCCAAGATCACTACAGATGGGGATGCAGCCAAGAAATTAAAAGACACTTGCTCCTGGGGAGGAAAGCTAAGGCAAATCTAGACAGCATACTAAAAAGCAGAGACATCACCCTGCCAACAAAAGTGTGTATAGTCAAGGCGATGGTTTTCCCAGTTGCAATGTATGGCTGTGAAAGTTGGACCATAAGGAAGACTGAGAGCGAAAGGATTGAGGCCTTTGAATTGTGGTGCTGGAGGAGACTCCTGCGAGTCCCTTGGACCGCAAGGCGATCAAACCGGTCAGTCCTAGAGGAGATCAACCCTGACTGCTCTTTAGAAGTCCAGATCTTGAAGATGAAACTCAAACACTTTGGCCACCTAATGAGAAGGAAGGACTCCCTGGAGAAGAGGCTAATGCTGGGAACGATTGACAGCAAAAGGAGAAGGGGACGGCAGAGGATGAGGTGGCTAGATGGAGTCACTGAAGCAGTTGGCATGAGCTTAAGTGGACTCCAGGGGATGGTGGAGGACAGGAAGGCCTGGAGGAATGTTGTTCGTGGGGTTGCGATGGGTTGGACGTGACTTCACGACTAACAACAACAACAACCAACCAGGCCAAAGCAATAAGCCAAAAGGTCTGTGTCGCTTCTGTTTAGCATCTAGGGCCGTGATGGCGAACTTTTTAGAGACCGAGTGCCCAAACTGCAACCCAAAATCCACTTATTTATCACAAAGTGCCAACACTGCAATAAAACCTGAAAACCGAGGTTTTAGTTAGAAAAAACAACTCATAGCCAGTCCAAGTAAATATATAGATATATATCCTTGGCAGCACACTGACCAGCCCTGCGAGAGCTCGGACGAGTCACGGCTAATGAGTCGTGGCTTGTGACATCATCACCTGGCGCCACTACTCCCTTCCTAGTATGCGCATGGCCCCTGTGTGGGCTGTTATCCAATGCTCGGCTGCTGGGGCGACTTGGCCCGTGTGCCAACAGAGAGGGCTCTGCATGCCCGCTGCGGCACGCATGCCATAGGTTCACCACCACTGATCTGGGGTAATGACAGCATCGTACAACCCAGCCTTGAAAATAATTACTGGTCTAAACAATAATGAATCACTACCCTGCATTTCCAAACACAAGCCACTGATTGTGGTACATCAGACAGCGTGAAGAAAGAGCTGCGTTCGGAAGAAGCACCACCGTGCCTCCAAGACTTCCCTGCCTGGTCACTCAAGAGAAAAGCTTAAATCATGATTGGTGAGTAACAATTTACAAGTCAACAGTCACGGCTGTTTTGTGTTCCTTCGGCTGCCTCTCTCTTCTTTGCCTCCCTCCCACAAATCCATCTCTGTGCTGGGCTCTATGAGCGTCGCTCAGGCCACAACTGATCTGGGCGGCTTCTCCTTTATTTGCTGACTCTGCTCGGACACAAACACCAAGTTCCTCTTCCTCACCTGCTTTGACTTGGGCTTGGGAGTCAACGGCTTGATGACGGGGCACTTCTCCTTGCTTGGAGCAGCTCGGCCATTGGGCACAGATGTCTTCTTGAACAGTTTCGTCATGCTGTCCAAAATATTAGGTGAAGGAACCAGCGGGTCCTTTTGGCTATTGGATACCTACGGAAGAAAAAGGTCTGGAAAAAAGCCTGCAGGATTTCCAAGGTATTTAGTGTATTTTACTTAAATTTGAGGTGAATTAAAATAATCGAACTCTTACCTTGAAAGGATTGACACGCCCTTGGTTGCTGGGGACATTTACAGCTTCGGTTAGCAAAAACAGAGAAGGGTAGTGGGGGAAAAGAGCACCAGTGAAAATCATGACAGAACATTTTGTGGGGCTTTTGAAAAGACGCACTGAAAGATGCATGACAACAGAAACCGGTGAGTACGGCTGTGTAATTCCCATGCCCTTCCAACCCGAAGCCACTGGCAAAACCTGACACCAGACCTGCTGATTTATCATCCCGACAATCCCAACTCTGAAAACATCTTCAGAGAAAATTTAACAGTCTGGTCCTTTCAGCCCATGTTATGTCTTCACCAGTCTCTAAAGGCCAAGAAAGCTTTGGAGTGGCACGGATGTGTAGTAAATGCTGTTAAATAAGCCGCCGAGCACTTCCCACAGGAGTGAACCCAAGGTGTTTGTTGCTTGTGGATGTGTGCGGTGGGGTCTGGGATGTCAGCATGTTGCTGTCTTGCATCGCTCTGTTGAGGCAGCTCGAGTCGGGTGCCACAGAAGCCCGGTCCTAGTTGCCAAAGCTCCCTGGGCAGTTCACAGCAATGGAATCCATGACCTCAAATACACTGCAGCACTCAGTGCTTGTGCATTAATGCCAATACTAGTAGTCCCTGGGTTGTGAACAAATTGCCCTAAAGCCTATTAATTTTTAAACGTTACTGCAGAAAATATTACCATAGAGAGAGAGAGGAATTGGAAGGGGAGAGAGGAAAGTCCTCCAAAGCATCACCACGGAGGAAGAGGAAGAGGAAGGGCAGAGTCTTCCTGCTCCGCCCATCCAAAGAGGGAAATCTCTCCGGCATTTCCTTGCTGTGAAGAGGAGCCACTGGTGCATTTGGCTGGTGGGGGGAGGGTTACAGATGTTTGTGGTTTTCCCACTTTCACAGGGGCCCTGCACCCCAACCCCTGTGAACGTGGAGGGCTGACTGAGATGTGAGCCAACTTACGTACAGCATTCAACTTAAAGATGAATATCTGTTTTCTCAGGAATGGAACTCATTCATAACCTGGGGATGGCTTGTACTCAACGGTTTGTGGGTTTCAGTGCTGAGTGATTGCAAGATGGGAGCGCTGGTCTGATGGATGTAGACAGGGTACCGCCACCTGCTGACTATTCTGTAACCCACAGGTGACTCATGCAAAGCCTGTCGTGGTGCAGCTTGAATCACACACCTGGACAAGGCCACCAGATCAGTGCGACACCTTGGATTTGGGATACTGAATTGAGTTAGCAGCCCTTACAGCATCCATGTCCCGACCAGGCGTCCCAAGTGGGTAGCGCCTGCTGGATATTTAAACAGGTCCACGAGGCTTCAGGTAAAAGAAAACAATTCAGAGCAGATGGGGGCAACTCTGTGGCGTACCATCCATGGAATCTGGGTTGTCGCTTGAACTTTGAGCGGCTGCCCAAGGGAGGGCTGCCCTCATTTCTGAACCCAGTCATTTCCAGAGCATGGAATTTGGAAGGCGGCAGCAGCAGAAGTGTACTGTAACCACAGGCGTGTTTCCAATTTAGTGAATGCCTGAAGGCTCTTTGTGCAACACATGCAAGTTGTTTAGCAAAAGGGAGGAAATACTTGTAGGTTGTTGACACGAGATGCTTTGACAAACAGACCCAACAAGTACGTATTTTTCCTAAACTCAGTTCGACTCACCAGATTTGGGAGTAGCCACATCTCTGCTGAGCACAGGAGATCCTTCAGAAGGGTAAAACCAATAGTGAGTATCTCAGTGCAAACATTAAAAGGACAGGAACATTTTGGCTACCCTCCAGCTTAACTATGAATAAGGGGCATATTTATGTTATGCGCACCACATTGATACAGAGGGAACACCAGCTAAATAGAAGAGATGGACAAAGAAACTTGAAATGCACTACAAAAACTGGGCTTGTTGCTTAAGGAATAGAGGGAGCAGCCAACTCCACACCCAGTTAGGAAACCAACTGCCCCTCCACCCCCATTCTTGCTTTACTTGTCAGTCACCCCCCAACTCCTCCTTCGTGGACGCTGCTTCCCAATGGGCATCCTTTGGGGTTTAAGAAATATACACCACTGCAGCCTTCTGCCCTACATATTGCTGGGCATCAGACTTACTGGGTTTGGACACCTCTGGCTTGTCGTCTTCCTCATCCTCAAAGGTCTCCATGCTTTGCTGGCGCTGGAGGTTCCTGACCCGAGCCTGGCTCCATTCCGTGGGGGTGCTGCTGTAACTGGAGCAGAGAGAGACACTCAGCAAGTAGCTTTCACCCCTTTGCTAGCGGAGGGAGAGGAAAGGAAGGGAAGGAGGTAGGAGCCACGCATTCCATATAGAAAAGTCAAGGGCATTAATAGACAGTGGCCCAAGATTTTGGGGCCACTGAGCACATTTGAAATTTTGAAGGTGCGCCATGAGGGGACCCACAAAATGGTTGCCCTGTGGGCGGGGGCAGCGGTGGCTGGCAATTCGTAATATTGCTGTCATCATGGAATCGGCACTAACTTGCCAGAAGGCAAACTGGTAAAACCAAAAGAAAAATTGCACAAGTAGGTATGTAGCAGGTAGAAATGGAATGTGAGCGCCAAAGGACAGTCCGCTCTTTCGAGCAGAAGGAAATATGGCGCACGAAGGGCGGTGCCCCAGTTTGCAGTACGCCCCACCTCCAAGTTAAGCCGTTTTGATTTTAAAAAACTTAAGAAATAGTATTACAGGGAGCCTGACAGTCACCAGGAGAGGCATATGTGGGCTCACCTGTGCCCATGGCGTGACACGGGCAACCTGAGGAATGGGCAAAACCACAGGTTAAAGTCTCGACCCTAATCATACTGATTTCGGCACTGAATTCCACAGCGCCAATTTTTATTCTCCTTAAAATATTTCTAGCTAGCCTGTTGATCAAACGCCTCAAAGGCAGCAACTGACACATACAAAAGCAGCGTGGCATATATTCTGTAAAAACATGCCAAATGTTAGTACAAAACATTCTAGTGATACTGCTGAGCAGCAACACTGATCACAGCATCAAAACGAAAAGAGGCGGCCAAGCAGAAATCCCAAAGCCCTCCATAACTAGTGGGCTTTAGCCTGCGATCGAGTAGTCTGCAAGCAAAGTACTGTGAACTCCCCTATGACAGAGTTCCACAGTTTTGGTGCCACCACAGAGGATGCCCTGTCCTGCATCACTAGCCACACATAATGCAGGACTTCAAGAAGATCTGAAGACATGGGGAGCTTTGAGGAAACCCAGACTGACTGAAAGCGCAATGTCTGAATGGTTTTTATAAACGAAGCACCTGAGGTTTGCTGCCAGCCCGTCCATATTTGGGGTGCACCACTGCAATTACATCAAGAGAAATCCTGCTTCCTCTCTAATGTATTCAGTTCTTTTGCCTTCAGGAAAGTAAACCTAGCAATCCAAACACACTGTACACAGCACTCTGAAGCCTGGACAGTACCCTGAGGGCTGTGGATCACTGCAGAGTGTATCACGGCCGTCGTTCAGCCATTACGGTAATCAAAATTTCTGGGAAGTCTCAGTGTATCTTTGACTTACAGGCACCCACCGCTGCTGCCTCTGGGGAGATACAAGCCTACATACATTTGCTCCAAGAGGTCCAATGCAGCTACTTTGCTCGTGCAGTGCTGTGTCACACTGGCATTCTCTTTTACCCAGCATTCCGATGGGTCCTGAGGTCCGCCTCCTGCGCCGGCTGCTCCTCTTCCTCTGGCATGCTCTTCTCTTCAGCAGCAGCCAACTCTGCTGCTTTCTCTGCAGCCAGTTCACTGAGCCGCTGGGCGAGCATCAGCCTCCGAGAGCGAGAGGCGTACTTGATGGCCAGGCTGGTGGCATTCTGCGTCATGAGCTCAGCAAGCTCCATGCAACGAAATTCCCTTTCTAGGGTGCAGGAAAGCTAGTTTTTTTTAAAGGAAATAAGTGGGAAGAGTCTCTTTCAAAACTTCAGGAACTACAAAAAGATCCACCACCTCTTCCTCCTCACTGGAAAGGTTCTGTGCCCACCCTTCAAGCCCACGTCCTTTCATTCACCCCGCGTCAGATGCAAGCTCCCGGATGGCGGCATGGTGAGCCCTGCCCAGCCAGCCTTCCTCGGTGTCAAGTGCAACCGCCGGCCGTACTTGGTGCGAGGGGCAGGGCCGCTGGTGGTCACACAGGGCTCCGCTCCGGGGGAGCCCTTCACAAGCAGCCATCCTCAGCTGGTGCAGGAGAGAGATGCTGCTTGGGCAGTGTATGGGACTCGATTCCTGGCGAGCACACCATGAACACAGAGCTGCTCCAAAACAGACCCGACTGAGGAGTCAGGTCCAGGGAATCCAACGGATCCCCATCCCCAAGCAAATTCCTCCCACATCCCTAATTGCAATGCCTTTAAAAAGATTACTTTAAAAAGCACCAGCACATGAATAACATTCATGCCACCAACTAGCCTGGACTTAAAGACCGAGCTGTGAACAATGAAACTGCAGGGTGCGTGGTCTCTCTTCTGAGGCCCAGAGGTCTGCACTGCTGGGGCTCTTGCCCAGGTGTTCTCTCCAAGCTCCGCCACTTCAGAATAGTAGCATCTTGCTCACAGAATTTCTCCAGGCTCACCCACCTTCCCCACTCCTTCCTGGATACTTCTCACCACGTGGGACTCTACCTGGCTGTCAACCTGCTGGCTCCCGGCTCCCGTGGCAGCTTGGGAATGGACAAGCCACCTGGGACCAGAGAGAGGGCGAGGCACTGGCCAGCAGCCCCCCATGTGCATCTGCAGGACTTCTGTGTTGATCAGAGGGGCAGGCGATTTATCATCCGGGGAATCTACTATGCTTAGTACAGGCTGGCAAGCTGGACCTTGCCACAGTGAATATTTAAACCCAAATGGCCCTTTTTCCATTTCACAGAGTAAGAGAGCCTCACCACCAAGCATCCAGACTGAACAGCTGCATAGAATAGCCCCAGAAAGAGCTTTTGATGTTTTAAATGAAAGCAACACCAGTACAAAATGCTCAGAGCTTCAGTTATTTTGTATTTAAAAGCACTGCCCACTCACTGCAAACATTTTCATCAGGAGATTTTGCTGTTCTTGGGTTGCCTGCCCTTTGGCACTTTCATCATGTTCATATCCATTTTGAGTTAAGTAGTCCAGGTAGTTGTGAAACAAGACAGAACGCCAGAATTGCTCCTAGGGGGCAGGGAGACAAAACAACATTTTAAAAAACCCGTTGCAATTTAATTCAGGTTGTTTGTATGTCACAATTCTGCAAGCACAGAGAATTTGCCAAAATGTGGTATTGGACAAAAGGAAAATAAATACCAGCTCTGATGTTTCAAAACATCGTTGAAAACATGACGAAAAAACATGAAAAGGTTATAAACAAGAAAATGAATAGAAAACCACATGAATTACATTTTCAACTTCAGATGAATTATGGGTCCACAAGTAAAGCAAATTTAAAATCATAATAATGTGGAACTAGAAATCTTGCCAAAGAGAAATATGGCTCGTTTTCCAACACAACTGCCCTTGGCTACTAAAATTTTTTATTTATTCCTAACCCCCTACCCTTTGCTTCTGAGGTTTCACCAAGTGCTGCCCACATACTTCTTCAGAGCCAAAGGGAGGGACTGGCCCGTTAAGACTTTAACCTAATATAAGCTGAGATTCTTGGGAAAATTGTTTTTGATATTTGTTATTTTTGGAGAGCCTGGTTCTACTGAACATAAGTGCTGTGGGAATTTAACACCGTGAAAGCTGTCTAAAAATGACTGCTTTTGTTCCAGCAAGTGATATAGAGAAATATATACATGTGCATCCCTTCCATAGAGGGTAGAGAGAGGTATATAAGCTAAGGGCATTGTTTCTATATATATGCTTGACGCGTGCAATTGATAAAAAATACTACAAACGGCCCTGACCTCCAGCCCCATAGAGAACGGGTTCTACAATGTCTTCTTTCATGGCAGCGACCATTCGCGTCCAAGGTAGTTTATAATGTTTTTCTTCATGAAAATGCCAGATAAAAACTACTCAAAAAACTCGTCTCATCTATTTCTCTGCAATACAGACAAAGCAAAACGCATTCCAAGTGGATGCAAGGAGTGAAATCAAACTGCAGCCCTTACACCTTTTTCACAGGAGGTTTCTAGGGACCAAATGGTAAGTTCTGATCACAGTTAAATTGCGAGAGCAGCTTTAATCACCTGGACACATGTCCAGGGAGTACCAATAAAAATGGTCAACAAACAGGCTGGATGTTGACTTTTACTTACCTCCATCTGGCCCTTGTCTGTCGCAGTCTGACAAAAAGGAAGCTTGAACGACAGGACAGCTACTGCCGGGCGAGGAAGCGTAGGGGGGAAGCGGGCTCCTTTACAAGGAATGCATCTGCATGGAAAAAAGACAGACTCATGAGGTAGACTGCAGCAAGGAACAGTCTACACATCCAGGAACACAAAATGGTAAGGTTTCTCTAGAATTTTGCTAATTCAGACTGCAGGTCAGGGAATAATAGTTTTTTTTTATAAAAGTATCTTTGCTCTCTGTGTGTATAATAACAGAGCAATCCTGAACCACACCCCATGACATGATATTTTTGAATATTCAGAGACCATTCTACTTAATATTCACATGTGATGCCGCAGAAGATGCAGTCCACAAAAAGAGTTAACATACAAAACCTGCTCTGTTGTCACTATGGTTCTAACAGGATGGATACAGGGCTAACGTAAGAAGTTATACATAAAGGACGGCATATAAATGTTTTAAATAAATAAGTAACATGCAGCTCGGATGTTGGCAGTATTGTAATCATTCAGCAGTTTTGTGTGACCAGGAGAGGGCAAGGAAGGTCGTTCAGGTAGCAGGAGTCGCATCACTGGATTCGACGTATCTTCATACCGGTCAGGCAGCATGCTCCGTTTGGCTCCTGCTGCTCACACGGACGAGAGAATCACCCACACAAACTATTCTCCTACCTGAGCTGCTGAGGGTTTTCATGAATGCCGACAACCCAGTAGTGATCCGACTTCCCTTTACAGTGCTCCCTCATGTCGCAAATCGGAGTCCAGGTATTAGCCAGCCCTCTGTTCAGCATGCGCACGACTCCCTCTGAATCCGCGTAACAAGGGGTACCTGTTCGTCAGAGTACACACAAGACTCGCTGTTTCTGGTAATTTGCTTGCTCTGAAGAGCTTGCATTCACCCCAGAGCCAAAACGATGATAAGGGCAAACACTCCTGTACTTGCAGATTTTAAAAGCACCAAACATTTTGAAGGGAATGAATTCACTTGCCGCTAACTTTGGGAGCGATGCCACCTCCTGGCGGCCTGGAGTAGCTCAACTGCTTAAATTCCTCTGGAATGTAAAGCCAACCGCCTGACATGCCTTTAGCCATCACCTCCTTTTCTAGATTGCCTTGCAATCTTGAAGAATGAGCTGCCCAGAAAGTTTCAGGCACTGGGCAGTACAAAAATTAAAGAAAGTATACTTATAGCCATGGGATCTACCTGCCTGTGCTGGTTGTCGCAGCGTCACTTCGGCCAGCAAGGCATGCAGTGCGATGCTCTTGGGACGAGCTGCGCATCCCGCTCCCCTCCCAGAGGCGAGACCGCAAGCATCTGCATAAGCCCCGCAAAGCCTTTGTGTTTGTCCTGGCTGCTGGGGGTGGGGAGCGTGAACTGGGGTGCTCACATGCATTTTCGACCACAGCAAATTAGCCTCTTTTAAAAGCATGCTAACACACTCTTTTTAAGGTGTGGCCCATCTGAAAGCTCCAATGAATGGAATAAATTTTTTAAAGATGCACAGACCTGTGAATCTACACAAAAATTTTGGCTCTGCTGCGGAACCTCCGAACTTCAAATCATGTTCAGTGTTTCTCCTTCTGCTACATAAAAGAGCTCCCACAATATCCCAAGTAGCATGGTTGTGACATCTAGGCATGTGTGAAGGCTCCAGTCAGCTTCCCCGGGCCCTACACCAAGCACCTGCCAGGAAAGCAGCCCCCCCCCCACCTGCACAGGCCGCATCTCCCTTCCACACCAGCTGCAGCTAGCCTTTTGGACTGCTGCTGCTGCTGCTGCTGCTGCTGCTGCTGCTGCTGCTGCTGATGCGGAAGAAGGCTGCCAGTTGCACAGTGGGGGCTTGGCAAGCATTTGCAGACTTCCTCTTGACTTGGCTCTCTTGGGAAGACCAGGCCAAGCACAAAAGGAAGTCCATGAATGTCTGGAGGGGTGGATTCAGACAGGCCCCATCCCATCCTTAGAAACACAGGGAAAAAGCAAGTCAGAAGGGGCCTCCCAGGCCATCTGGTCTGACCCCCAGCTCCAGCCGGCTCCCCATGTAATCCCCAACATCTGGGTGTCCCATCTTTCCTTGAACACCTTCCCTGATGGGGCCTCCACCACCTCTGTCAGTGACAAGGTATCAGGCTTGAAAAATAGGCTGGTTGGAGACTAGAAAGTGAGAATGAGGAGCCCTCCCTCCACTGCCAGAGCACCGATTGCATTCTAGAGCCCTGCGAAGTTTTGGATTGCACCCCACAAATGTATTCATCCGACTGGGAAACCCCGATGCTGCAGCGCAACACACTCCCGGCCACTGCCCTTCTCTGCTGCCTCCACCGACCTGCTGATTTTTCCCACCGTGCAGGGTGGAGGCAACCGTGCTCCCCCCGGATCGGGAACGTCTGTCGAGTTACCTTGTTAACCAGGCCTTACAGAGAGCGGCTCAGATTCCAACTTTCCCTCTGCAAACAAAGCAGCCTTCCCAGCGCTTTTCCTCTTCCCTCTGCAAACTGCTGCCCATCTTTCCCCATGACATCTGTGCCCTGCGGCCTGGGCTCCTATGGGGATGCAGTGCTGGGATTGCAAGGAAAGGGTGGGGGTGGCAAACTGCCCCCCCCCTTCATGTGACTGAGTAATAAGTCAGGCTACACCAACATATTTGTCACCTGAAATCAAACGAACATACCTCTGGACAGGAAGTCTAATGAACCCTCTTACCTTCTGCTGAAAATCCAACCCATGTCAGATAGGATTTTCTGGAAAGAGGAAGTGAGTCACCACATAAGATCTGCCTTTTCTTTCTTCCCAACTCTATCAGCTGCACTCCAAGGCACTGGTCTCCCTCAAAGCCCACACCTAAAGAAAGAGGAAAATGCAGGAACTAGTAATTCTAATAGCTGGACGGAGAGACTGCTGGTGGTGGGCAGGGAGAGCGGAAAGCCTCGCTGGGACCACGAGTCTTTCTTTGCATACCTGAAGGGCCCTGCTGGACTTTGATTTCCTGGTTAATTGAAGCATTCTCAACATATATGAATATTCTAACTTCCGACTTAGGAAATACTTCAGAAAATAAAGTTATATCCATGATGTGGAGTCTGAAGTATAGTTTCTCCAACCAGGGCTTGGTGCTAGTTGTAATAATAAAAACACTTCTACAATTAATGTAGCCATTAATTATGAGGTTTAGAAAATAGTTTAGCTGCCTGTCAGAATCCTTAATTTTGGGAACTACTGTGGTTCGATTGTCAAGCTTTTTACAAACATAAATAAAAGCATACGGAAGAGGGGAATATGCATGGAGCCACCGTACAGTGCCAGAGCAGATCCTTGACATGTATTTTTGTAAAGAAAGAACATACAAAACGTAAATCAAAGACAAGCCATGCTGTAGGACTCCAAGCACCTTTGCCAATGACTGAGCAGCAGGACTGGGAAAGAACTCTTCAGCCCCCGCCTGTGACACTTTAAAGACCGGCTGCCAGCCAGAGTAGACAGCACTGGGCTGGATGTACGGGCGGTTTTGCTCTTTTGAAGACGGCTTCATAGACTGAGATTTTCTGGATGGTGGGGAGAGCTTGTAGAGCTAATACCAGAACTCAGTGGGGTCAATCCCTTGAAGCTGCTGGGAGATTCAGGGGAGGTAACAGGGCGTCAGACAATGCATAGTTCAACTATGGAATTTGGTTCCACAAGATTTAACGATGGCCACCCACAAGGGGGACGGGACAAATTCATGGAGGAGGAAGGCTAGCAGACCTGACGGCTCCAGGCTATCTCCAGCACCAGCAGCTGGGTGGGATGGGTGGGAAGATGCTCTTGCGCTCTTCCAATTGGAGGGGGTTGGACCCGATGCCCTCCTTGCCCCTTCCAATTCTACTGTTCTATGATTCCTGCCCTGCTTGTGGGATCCCACCACTGTGTGGAGAGAAGGCTGGACTAGATGGTCTGATTCGGCAGAACTCAGGTTCTCTGAAGTCTGCTGCCGCCAGGAAAGCTGTTGGGCTCTCTGGGGTGACCTATTTCAGTTGTGCAGGCAATTAAGCATGCTACATTACCACGGCTCACCGTGGCACCCCTTCGACAAATGAGGCGGAAGAGAAAACGCACCTTTGTGGAAAACCACCAGCAGCTGCTCTCCGTGCCCTGCCATGGACACCACAGGGCCAGGGATGCTGAACACCTCCTTCTGAAACCCCCCAGTGGTGAACACGCGGAGCAGGAGGGTGCTCGTGGCGCAGGCGGCCCAGCCCTGGCCCAGGCAAACGGCGTCGACCTCCTCATCCAGCCGCATGTCGACCGTCCATTCTTTGTTGGAGTCCCAGGAGTTAAAATGGATGCAGTGCAACTTACTAAAAATGAAAGGGGGAAAACGTTGCAGACCGGCCCACGGACACGGAGGGATGCCCACGCGGCAGGTCTTCGCTTGCAGCGTCTGGGCACCCTGCCTGATGGCGCCAGCTTGCTAGAGCTCATATTACACCGCAACGCTTGCTGGTAGCATGCTTCGATTAGATGTTATGTTGGTTCCCCTGAAGAATGCACAGACTTTCAAAACATGCTAAGAAATGCTACCACCAGTTTATTAATAAGCCTTCCTGCGTTTATTAGCTTCAACTTTTTTCATGCTTCTGCTATCCCCTGCGGTTTTGCTAGAAACAGCAATCGTGGCTTGAGAGGTTTTTTAAACACTCGGAGATAAACTAATCCCATCCTGGCCACTCCCCCATTTTCGTGTATACTCCCCCCGCATGCCCAACCCAGTTTTTATAAACTGTGCTCCACAGAAAGGCATCAGGGAGGGTTACCTTGCTAGCTCCTCGCTGCTCTTGCAGGCTAGTAAGACAGCTTCACTGGAAAGAGCCGCCATTGTGTGATTCAAAGAGTTGGGCAAGTGCATCGCGTGGTGTACAGAAGTGTCGTGGAATTCAACATCAATGGCGTTGTCTTGCTCGTCGTTATAGCAGCGAATAATGCCAACAGAGTTCCATGCCTGCAAAGCAGAACGAATGTGAAGACTCGCTGAAGAAAGGCAGTGGATGAATCACACCTGATACCCCCTCAGAGCTAATTTATGAACGTCCTTTTATCTCGGCGGAGGCCCACATGGATGCGCATCTCTACTAAAGGAAATGGACACAGCTGGTGTTAAGGGATACACCCATTCATACACTTCCATGCTGCAGATGGAGTTGGTGGGGCTGAGCATCCTTGCATTAAACTCCCTCTTTAAAGAGGTCCCAACTGCCTCTTAATGAGATGGACGCATTGATTGCTTTGGTTTAGGCCTAAAGAAAAAGCCTGAGAATGCACGAAGGAGGGAGAGGAGGTGACAATACCATATGCCCAACTCAGTAGGAACCAGCCAAAATTGCACTGAGTTTAGGCTGCAGACTCGTCCAAATGTGAGTTGTTTGTCCAAAAGGGCTGTAGGAAATTAGAACAGGTGAGGACCTAAAAGCAAGGGCAATACAGAGCAAGGCACCTCCACTTACTTCCTATCCACAGAGAAGCAATATCTTTATAATGCCTTGCCTAGATTATTGTGATGCAAATAAACCCGTACGCAGGTGATACGATATGCCATGACATGGGACTTCAAAGCAAAACAAGCATCGATAGCTCACCCAATTCAGAATGTAAATTGTGAAGTTTTTTTGCGTGTTACACCAGCTTCTGCTACAAATAAGGCACCTCTGAAACCATTTAATATGCTGAGCCAGAGCCAATCAGGAACAGGCCAAACCACGGTACGGAGACGAAGATTATCAGTCAGTGCCTACATTTAGCACCCAACTGAGCTACATTAATAAACTTCGTGGCTTGTTTGATCTCATCCTTTACACTGATCCAGGATTTAAGCTGATCAATAAACACTGCTTCCTTGCTTTGGCAGCTCTATCCAACCGCTAGCACAGTTTCACTAGGGTTGCTCCACCAGCAAGTCTCTCCCTCATTGGACCATGTGTTTGCTTTTGCTGAGTATCAGCCGCATTCCTAAAAACTCAATTTTTTAAGTAGCACCTGTAATTGCATATTCCCCCTTACCTTCTACACAGGTAGGGTGTTCCTATGTCTGGCAGTTGTCCAGGTTGGGAGTTGGAGGCGCTGCTCTGTGGTGGTTCCACTCCTACCTGACTGACCAATTCCAGAAGGTGGTGCTGGGGGATTATGGCTCTGTGCCGTGGCAGCTTTGCCATGGAGTTCTGCAGAGTTCCATTTTATCCCCCATGCGTTTAACATCTACAGGAAATCGCTGGGAGAGGTCGCCCAAGGTTTTGGGCTGCAGAATCATCAGTACGCTCACTCACTAGTCCAAGTGAGGCAGTATTGATCCTTAAATCGGTGTCTGATCGGAGTACTGGGCTGGATGAGGGCTAATAAATTGAGGCTTAATCCAGACAAGACGGAAGTCCTGTTGGTAGGTGGTTCGGCCTTCCAGGTGAGTGATTTTTGCCCTGTTCTGGATGGGGTTGCACTGCCCCTAAAGGACAGGGTATGCAGCCTGGGAGTGCTCCTCAACCCTGACCTATCCCTGGAGGACCTGGTGTTGCCAGTGGCAAGCGGTGGTTTCCTTCAGTTTTGGTTCATACATCAGCTGCATCCTTACCTGGATGAGCAGTGCCTGGCAACGGTGACCCACGCTCTGGCAATTTCCTGTTTGGACTATTGCAATGCGCCCTACGTGGGGCGACCCTTGAAGACAGTCCAGATACTTCAACTGGTCCAGAATAGAGCTGCCGGGTTATTAACGGGGACCAGCAGATGCTCCCATATCACGCCAGTCCTATACCATCTACACTGGCTGCCAACTGAAGTCCAGGCCCAATTTAAGGTGCTGGTGATGACCTATAAGACCCTAAACGGCTTGGGTCCTGGATACCTGAAGGAGCGCCTTCTCCCCTATGTGCTTGTCTGCCCCTTGAGATCTGAGGCAGAAGTTCTTCTCCTCTTTGAAGGAAATTAAGAGAGCCTTTTTTGGGAGACTCTGGTATTAGATGGCATGTAAAAACTTTAAATAAATAAATATTATATAGCTGAGATTTCACAATGCCATTTTAGTATTAACAACACAGTACAACTGTCAACATACTTGATGTCATGGCAGTCAAGGGTTTGTTGGCTTCCCATACAAATCTATCAATCACAAATAGAATTTGCTGAACAGTCAGTTCTTTGGTAACCCCAGACTCCGAACAGTGGAACTGGCAACCTATAACCCGAGCCTCTGCCAATTTTACTGCCTTTTGTTTTGAATCTTCTGCATAATTAATTATAGACAGTCCAATAGTTTTCTGAGTCATGTTATTTACCACCTGCCTTTTCATCAGTGCAGGTGCTGAGAATTATTAATACAATTCAGTAATATGTCCCTTCTCAAAGGTTTCCTGTGCCACCTTGTTTCAAATAACAATTACAGATCTTTAATTTTACATCCAAAAAGGAAAGACAACCACCTGTGTTTGGCTGCCCCCATCTTAATCCACTCCATTCATTGCTTCTAACTCTTTATTCATTTCTGTCACTGCACATATTATGATAACATCTATATATCGTCCATAGGGGAGGATGTCACAATCAATACAGCATCTTTCAGTTGTATATGCAACAGCCAATAACAGTACCGATCAATTTCCTATTACTGAGCTATGTTTCTATGAAGCATATTTACCATTAAAATGAAAAATTATCCTGCAAACACGCAACACTCAATCCATTCAAGTCCTCAGCCAGGAAGCTATAACAATGAATCAAGCTACAGTTTTCTTTTAACAGGTCTGCCAAACTTTCTCTTGCTCGTCCATTATGGTGCATGGTGCTTCAGGAACAAAGCTCTCCATAGCTACTCTCTCCATAAACTGATCTAACTCATCTAACAGTTCCTGAGGTTTTGCAAATCAGCAGGGATACCATTTAACGGAGGGGCTAACATCGTTGTGATCAGCCAACCAGTTCAGTCTGCTGGCCTCCACACCTAACGAGAGGGTGGCACTCCCCCAAGGGACAGGGTGCATAGCTTGGGAATGCACCTTGACCCAGAGCTATCCCTGGAATTCCAGGTGACACTTTCCATCAGCTCCACCTGATCCATCAACCTCCTCAGAGAGGAGGTTGCACTCCTCAGAGCGTTCTGCCTGGCGCCGTTATTATTTGATTTTGGGCGCCAGGCTAAGACCTTTGTATTTAAACAATATTTTAACAACGCTTATTAATAATTATAGGTTTTAATTGTGCAGCCAGGGTGTTTCTGGGTTTTTAATTGTATTTGTATTATGTTTGTTTATTTATGTGAGCCGTCCCGAGGCTATAAGCGATGGGACGGCATACAAAAATTCTAAATAAATAAATGAACAAACCCGGATGAGCAGAGTCTAGCAACAGTAATCTATGCTCTGGCGATCTCCCAATTGGACTCTTGCCATATGCTCTACATGGGGCTGCCTTTCAGGATGCTCTGGATACTTCAGCTGGTACAGAACAGAGATGCAAGACTGCTCACCAGGACTGACCAACGTGATCCTCAGTCCTGTATCACCTCCACTGGGTACCAACTGAACTCTGGGCCCAATTTAAGGTATTAACTTTGACATATAAAGCCCTAACGTGTTTAGGTTATTTGAAGGACCATCTCCCTCCATATACACCTGCCTGAACTTTTAAGATCTTCCACTGAGGTCCTTCTTTGGGAAGTCCTCCTTGAAGGAGGCTGGAAAAGTGGCTACCTGGAGGAGGGCCTTTTCTTAAGTAACGCCCCACTCTGGAATTTGCTCCCCAGAGATGTGAGCCTGGCACTGATGCTTTATTTATTCTGGCACCAGGGCAAAACCCTTTTATTTTCCCAGCATTTTAAATACTGATGGGTTTTAAATTGGAATGTTATATTTTATACTGTATCTTTTTAAGCTGTCCTGAGACGTTCTGTAGGGGATGGGATAGCAAAGCTTTTAATAAATAAATAAATAAAACTATAGTTTAATGTACTGTTACTGATTTTTGAGCCCTCTTGAGACCAGTGTCAGGTAAAGATGGGGTAAAATGCTAGAAAGACAGACAGACAGACTTCTATACATGTCTTTGCATCTATGGTGTTTCATCGTGCACGCCACAGTCTTCAGTATTTTCGCAAGAAGCAGACAACCAGAAAACAAGCAATAGTTAAACAATTGCTGTATGTTATTAACCCTCCAGCTTTCACAGGTGCTTTTCTAAATTGTTGCTTCTTCCCACTCACTCAGAATTAGTCACCAAAGGAAGAGCGTGTGTAATGCAGTCAGAGAAATATAACAAAGAAATAATCTTTATCCAATTCTTGACTCACTGTGGCAAAATGTTCTTTGTCGCTCCCAGATCTTTTTAAACTATCCTCTCCCAGGAGGACTTTTAATTGCCTCAGTGCCGTTCTTTTATCTCTCGACAAGTGCCGTTCCTGAGCACTGAGCAGTTTTTTCATTTCACCAGCTGCCACCTTCCTGGGATAGTCAAAATCAAAGGCAAATGGGAGTACCATAGTTTGAGCTTCCTGAAAAAGGCAGCACTTGGCTGCTTGTTTCCGAGAATGGTCTTCCCCAGTGGGTACGGCCTCGCCTCATTTCAGCTGATTAGCCAGACAACTCAGTCCGGCTTGCAGCTCCATTCTAGCATGCTCATCTGCTTTTGATATAACAAAAGTGAACAGAGGGACACTTGGAACAAGGTGTCTTTGAAGACTATTGGAAAACTCCAGTCAGTAGCAGTCTCACATTTTAAGCAAATTCAGACAATAAAGCCATGTGAACCTGAAATGTACCATGAATCGGTGAGTGAGATGTACAGGGGTGGAGCCAGCCTGGAATGGCTTTTGCCGAGGAGTTGGCACCGGCCCATCATAGAAGGGTCTCTGGGTTGACTGAACTGGAACAAGGCTTTGGTGCTCATCCTCTTCTTCGTCAAGGTCAGGGTTAACTTTCAGCAACCCAGTCTCTGTGAAAGACACAAAGATACAGCGGCATATAAAGGCAAGTCTTTTTACAGCGGTGTATAAAGGCAAGTCTTGGGAGTCTCTAAAGACTCTGGTGGCACCACCACAAGGTCATGCACCTACGCTTGCCCAGTCGGCCTTTCCCTCACCACCTCCACCGCGCATCCCATTTTGAGAAATCCTAACCTCGAGAGTTCTCGTCATCCTCTATGATCGCTCCCCGGTTCCTGGGACGTCCGGATGCCAACATAAGGTCATCATCTTCCTCTTCGTCGTTTGGTACTGCCTTTGCACCCCAGTCATCGCCAGCCATATCTCCATTCAGAAAGTCCTCGTCGCCGTCCTCATCAAAAAGGTCATTGTAGCTTTTGGTAGCAGAAGCGAGTGCCTGATGCCGTGATTTAATGGATAACAGTCTCAAACGCACGTCAAGGAAAAAGCTTTATCCCCTGCAAAACTCCAGATATATGACTGGATAAACAGGATCACCCACAGTTGAAAAGAAATTGAACAGGAAAAGCTCGAGATAATTCCCGTTTGCATTACCTTCTGGTCTGATTTCTTTCCATCCCCAGCACAGATGTTCTCAAGAAGGCCCAGGTTGCCTTCCATGTCTGTATAAGCGATCTGACCTCCTCTGGGGTGCCACGCCAAGCTGCAGATGGTGTAGCCCTTTTCATGCTTCACCCTGAGCAAAAAGGAAGCAAATTCCTCACATTCAAAAGCACCGTCAAGGAAGACTTCACTACAGGAATGGAAAAGGTCTTTGGTCTGAAGAACTGAGGCTAGCTAAGAAATGGGGTGTAATGGGAGCAGTGCTGAATTTGGAGAAACTTGGGACAGTTTTCTTCCTGGCTTAGAGATCACTATGGCAGAACTTAAGAAACCCTTCAACTGACCTGAATACAATGCAGTGGGGATTTTCCACCTGTGAAAAGCAGGTTGCCCACCTGTAGCTGTTGTTCTTCGAGTGGTCGCCTCTGCATTCACACATATGGGTTCTGTGCACATGCTGAGAGCTCATTCGGGAAGATTCCAAAGCTCAATTATTGTTCAGTGGGAGCCCAGCCCCTCGCCACCCGCAGCATGAGGGGAGGGGCTCCCACCAGGAGCTCAGTTTGAAACTGAGACCACGGTCAAGCATGATCCTGGTCAGGCTAAGGAGTGTGCATATTCCTCACGTATCAAGCAACTCAGTGGAGACGACAGGTGGGTATGTGTGGATGCAGGCGACCCCTTGAAGAACAGTTACAGGTAGACAACCTGCCTTTCTTCATCCTGGTCTCTGTGCACCACACACACGGCTGACTGGCAAGCTTACCTCTTGGAGAAAGGTGGCGTGCTCACCAGAGGAGACAGGGTGGCTCACCTGAGGGGAGGGTGCAGTCCACTTTAGCCGAGCTATCCAGCCGATGGAGGCAAACAAAGGTCAATGGCTTCGACCAAGTCACTGCTTGACACAGACGATCAAGAGACACTCCGACATACAAAGCTGCAGAGGTCACCACTGCGGGCCCGAGAGGAAGCACAGCAAACTGAAAAGGTTCATCTCCAACTTGAAAGCGGACAAAACACCAGCATGGCTCCTTAATAGCAATATGCAAGTGCATGTCTTTGAAGTCTACCAAGGGGAACCTTTGCGTAATAGTGGAAAGATGGATTGAAGTGAGACCATCCTAAAACCTTTGGGTCTTGTATACTTGTTGACCCCCCCCAAGACTGAGGATGGGCTGGAGGCTGCCGTCTTCCTTTGGGAGCAAAAGGGATCTGGAGTAGAAGCCAGGAGTTCCAGGGTGAGCCCGCTTTATGCCTCCCTTTTGCAAGAGGGAGGAGATTTCTTGAAGGAGGGGCCCGGAAAGAGCGGTCCTTTTAGAGGGAGGTTTTCAAACTCAGTACAGTATCCGTTGCGTATGATGGAAAAAACCCACGAATCCAAGGTGATGGCAGCACAAACCTAAGGACCACGTGGAGGGCCTGAGTGGAGGAGACGCCCATGTCCTCCGAGGTGCTAGGCAGACTGAGGAGCAACTTCTGCCCATCGGTCTGGGGAAGTCGGTTCCAATGTTGAGGTATAAGGCTCGGGCCTGACGCAGTCAGTTCAGCAAACGCCGTGCAGCAGTGATGCGATGACTCAGTATGAGACGGCTGAGTAGGGGATGCAGGAAAGTACTGGGTCGCCGTCTCTCCATCGTCCCTGCCTGACTGCGGAAGCAGTGTCGATATAATTGGGCCCGCTTCGGTAGAGAGCCAGTCAGACCCTGGGGGCTCCAGCGAGGCAAGCCTTGTCTAGGGTGGAGGGAAGCCCAGCGCTCTTCATAATGAGAGGCTTTGAACCCGTGTCTCCGTGGCGGAGTCAGCTGGCGGGGCTTGCGGTCCCTATCAGCAACTGGGGAGCAAAACCCATGTCTGCGTCTTTCAAATTCAGCCACAATATATACGCTCAGAACTGAGGATAGAGGCAAGGTAGGTTTCTGAGCAGAGACCATGCCAGACTGCTGTATTACAGGAGAGGGGGGCTCTTGAATCTCTCCTTCTAAAAAGGGGGTACTTGGAGCTGGTTGCAGCAGCTGAGGGGAAGGCTCCTGTGCTGGTCCTGGTGCCAGAAGGGAGCACTGGATCAACTCCCGTGCAGGCGCCAGGTCTTCGATACACTGGAGGCCTGGAGGAGGTCCTTAAGGTCCCTCTTTGAACTTAGGAGGAATGGGCAAGATCCCATGTTGGGCCTTTTTTGAAGACTTTCTGAACTTGTCTATTTTGGAGCATATCTCTGGAGGAGCAGAGGAGGGCTCAGGCAGTACGGCTCCCCAGGTGGGCAGGCGAGGAGACGTGCCCGTGTGGAGGGCGCAGCGCCACAGTTCCGCTTTAGGACGGTCTGCCCAGTGTTTCCTCGCCTCCTTCAAAAACACCCGACAGTGGAAGAAGAGGTCAGCATGGGTCTCTCCGGCAGCGAGTGCCTGCCCTAGCTGGCCGCTTGCTGCCACAGCCCACACGGCTGAGGAATGGCGCTTTGAGCACCATTTTCCCGAACAGGATAAAAAGCGGGGTGGCTAAAGCGCCAATCGAGAGGCAAGAAAAACAGCCAGAAAGTAGTATATTTGTCTTTTTGTGTGTGTGTGTGTAGGTGAGACAGAGAAAAAACACCAAGAGAAAAAATCTGAAGGCAGAGGCAGTCTAGAAGGTTGAAGAGGAACCATGATTTGTATCAGTAAGCAGCAGAGGAAGAACGTGAGACGCACGCGACGGCAGCCGAAGAAGAGCTGGACTCTTGGTGGAAGTCCCTCCGCCAATGCCGGGCATGGCTGGGGGCTCGGCTCCTGCTGAACCATGAATCTTCCCAAAGAAGCTCCAAGCATGTGCGCAGACTCCGTATGTGAGATGCACAGAGACTGTGACGAAGAAGCATATTTACTATCCTGCACTGATCGACTCTTTTCAGTATGACCTTCCCTTCTGCTAAGAGACACGTTAACATTTTTACGAACATTAACATTCACGAAGGACTGCTGCAACACATTTGGTTGGCGCACACGCATGTGCTGACCCATCGCCAGTCCACACACAAACACGGCTTGGATCACGTGCACTTTGCAGAGCTGACAACTCATATCATCATAGCGGACAAAAAGGGGGTATCTAGCGTTATCCTCACAAGGATGCTCTGTGGTTAGGGTGAGAGATAGTGACCAGGCTCACGTGAGCACAGAGCAGAATATGTCTGCTGTTAGGTTTTTCAGGGTGTCTGCCCACTACGCACAGGCCACACTGCCCAGATACGCAAGACACGGCCAGCTGGCTGGCAGAGAGAGACAAATTATGCCCACGCACGACCAGCATGCACAGGGGTGGAAACAAACCACCGTGCCTTATTTTCACCACCCTAATTGTGCAGACAAGCTGAACGACTGGTCCCAAGGGACCCAACGAGCTTTGCAACCCAGTGGGGATTTCGGACCTGTGGAACCCAAAAAGGCTCAATTTCTCAGTTATGCAACTCACAAGTTATGCTCCAAGGTGAAAATCCTTCTGTGCAAAGATATAGAATGAAAACAAATAAGCACCTCTCCAGACACTCCTGGGTGTCCACATTCCAAATGACGATACAGCCACCGACACTTCCAGCTGCCACGTACTGCCCACACGGAGACCAGGCCACAACGCTGAGGGGCTAGTTGGGGGTGAAAAAAGGTTGCATTGCAAGTTATAGAACATCCTGAATAATTTCGCTTTTAAGTTTGGTGACAAACCACCATGCTCAAGATGAATCGTTTGTGGAAAAGCAAAGATGGACACAGGAATATGCCAGGCTGTTCCGCTTCCTTCCATTTATACAAGGTTAGCTTTGCACTTTAAATATGTCATTTATAGAAATGTGAGCACTGGGAAACTATTTCTAACTGACACAGGCACTGCTTGGTTCTTTAAATCCAGCCATCTGAAAGAATATTAATATCACAATCCAGAATACTGGCTATTCCCAACAGAATGGCGACTACAGGTCACAGTGCTTTTAGTTTACTTTAGAGGAGAGACGGTCCACTTGGAGCACATGATCTATCAGTATCTATTTACAAATATCGCACTGCCCTTATAATCTACGATGCAACCGCACTTGGAATACCTTGCACAGCTCTAGTCACTGCCCCTACAAAGTACAAACCAGAGCTAGAAAAAGTGCAGAACTGTTCAAAAGGCTGGGGCAACTCCCCTGTGAGGAAAGGATACACGATCCGGAAAGTGAGGGGAGACTTGACAGAGCCACGCAAGATTATACACGGCTGAAGAAAGGGAAGAGGGTGGAGATATTTTTCTCCCTCTCCCCTAGTACTTCAACCCAGTTGGGCCATTCCATGAAGCTGACTGGTGGGAGATCCAGGACAGATCAAAGGAGGGACCGCTACACACAGCACAGAGTTAAACTGTGGAATTCAATGCCGTGGGAAGTGATGACAGATGCTGATCTGCAAGGAGACTGGGCAAATTCTTGGGGAAGGAGGCTATCAGGGGCCACTAGTCCTGATAGCCATGCGCTACTCCCAGCATCAGAGGCAGCATGCCTAGAAGGCCGCTGATGCACCCATGTGCCACTGTGGGAACCAGATGATGGACCAGAAGGCAGCACTGCCCAATTTTGCGTCAGATCACCAGACAGCCACCACACGGCAAGATGACGCAACTTCAACTGCTCCAGCCAATCGCTGCTCTTTGCATTCAGCTCTCTCTCACATGTACCACCCTCTCCGGGCAGGGAGACTCCCCATTTAAGGACGGCATCTACTGTTAGCAAGACAAAACAAACCGGCTACTCTTCCTTGACGTGGGAGGACAGCGCTCTCGCTTCTGTAAGTACAAGTCAAGCAGGAGCCAACGGGAGCATCTAAGGAGACCCACCTGTGCAATGGAGTGATCTGACAGATCCAGCCAATGTTCCCAGGTTTCTCTCCGGTACAGCCGAACGGCTTTCTCTACCGGAATGGCTAGCAGCTATTCAGGGGAAGAAAAGAGATTCCATGGTAAGCGTCTGATTTTCTAAAAAAAGGCTTTCAGAACTAGTTCTGGTTTTGTTGACGGATTACTGCTGCTGCTTCATTTTATTCAAGTTAAGCATTCAGAGGAAATGCATCAAGGGGGTTCTGCAGAAGTCAATGAGGCAATGAGGAAGGCTGAAAGAGCCTGGTCAGAGGTAACAGGGAACGACAATCCAGGCACCTGCGGCTTTGCCAGTCTGGATCGGGCAGACTGAGCATCCAGCATCAATCATTCCATTGGCCACAGTCAGCCTGAGTGGGCACTGCCATCTGGCAGGCAAGGCGAGTGGCGTTTTCCCAACTCTGAAGAGGTGGGTGGAGATTCTCTAATGCAGCGATCCCCATCATACCTTGAGTTCCAAAACTGTTAGGAATGCTGGGGGGGAGGGGGCGGGGGGATGTCAGGCATCTCACTCAGATAGTTGGAAGAGCCTCGACTACGCAAGGCCAAACTGGCCATCAAGCAACCACACGCCACCAGCCTCTTCTTCTCCAAAGCAGGAAGTGCATGCTAGAGCAGGAAAGGAGGGTGCTCAGCACCTTCCAGCAGGGGTGCCCAACTGGCCACTCCCTCCTCTGGCCCTCCCCTCAAGATGTCTTCAAAACAGCAGTGTCCACCCTGGGATTCTTCCCAGTGGCCCCGTCACCATGGATCAGGGCCGGCAACCGTAGTGCTTGGCTGGGCCAGGCAAAAAAGAATACACCCGTTGACTGCCCAAACCCCACCCCAGCCACCAGTTCAAAGGATCAGCACTCCAGCTGCCCTTCCAGGGACATGCTCTGACAGGAACTGACAAGGGTGGAAGGTAACAGACAGTGAGATGAAGCTGTGGATGCTGCTTCCTTGTGGGAGGCATCTGAATCCACAGGTCTAGGGGAATGATCAAGGGTCCAGCCCTCATCCTTGGTGACCTGCGCAGAGATCCTCTCGGGGCCACCCTAAGGCAGAGTCCTGTCGCCCCACCTCCAGAGGCCTCATGGGCATCAGGTTAACTATCAGAGGCCTCTGGTGTTTAGGAAATGACAGAAGGGGTTCTGCATCCGGGGAAGGCAAGTCAGAGGGAGAGGTTCCTTGGCCACGTCATGTTACCCCTTCGCCAAACCTGCGTAACTGAGAGGGCACGGGGATGGAAACACAGACGTGGTGGAGGCCCCATCGGTGAAGGTGTTTAAGGGAAGACTGGACAGCCACGTGTTGCCGATCACATGAACGGAACCGGCTGGAACAGGGGGTCAGACCAGATGGCCCAGGAGACCCCCCAATTCCCTTTTTTCTGTTTCTAAGGCAACCATGCCCTCATGGGACTGACACCCTCCCCCCGCCATTAACCGTGAGCAGGTCTCTTCTGTTGTTTCACTGAGGTCGGCAGAACATGCTACCAGCCACCTGCCGTTTCCATTCATGCAACGGCAACCGGCACCAGGAGAGAGGGCCTGGCAGAGGACGGGAGTGCGGAAAATGGGAGCATGCGGCCCTTTCTTCAACAGCTGCTTTTCCAAACCTGACTGCTCACCCACAGGAGGTTTAGACCACAGACAGAAAACTGCCGTGTTACCTTTCCGCTTTTCGGTTGCCAGGAGAGTCTGCATATTGATTTTGCACTGACCACGTCATTGCACCTCTGCAGCAGCAGCCAGCTCATCTCGCAAGTCTAGAATGAAAGTGCATCAACAAATGTATTGCTTTAAACTAGTCTGAAATACGTGGAGTTTTCCAAGCGGGGCCAGCAAACCCTTTGGCTCGAGCTGAGTGCTGGAAACCCCGGGACTCCTTGGAAGCCGATTGGCATTCCCTCCATGAGAAAGCCAGTGTTTGCTGGAAAGACAGGCAGCTCGCCCACAGCTGCCCACCTCCGCAGATGACGCATTCACAAAAGTAGGGCTCAAAAAACAATCCAGGGCGAATTCATTCAGAGACAAGTCCCATGCGCAAGCCCCACAAGTTGAATACATGTTTACACAGAAGCATGTTCTGCAACCTGGCCATGCTGGGGGTCACACGCCTTTTTCTGGGTCCTGTGTGTTTTATGAGTTCTGCACTGGAACATACAGCTGCATTAATATATTTCTGTGCAAAAATACATCTGTGGGGATTCAAAGAGTGCACGGCTGGTTTTCTGCTGATAACATTCCTCCATTGGTGACCTAAACTGAGAGCACCTGTTTCCATGCAGGGGAAGAACAGCCAATCCCGTTTCATTGCTACAAACCAGATGCATGTTTTTATCCCTGCTTGACTCTGAGCCATTCATTTAAAAATAGGTACGCCGAACCTTGACTGGGAACACCTAATTAAATTCACCATGCGCTAGCGATTCCATCCATATCTGCACCGTAGATCTCACACACTTGAGTGTTCAAGTGGTATCAGAAATATTTTCCTTTGGGGACCAGACATAAATGTGGTCCAGCAAGGGAAAGGCAACCAACACTAACGAGTTGCATGGAGAACCATTTTGTCGCTTTCGCCAAGTGTGTCTGAAAAACGTGCAAACAGGATTGGTGCGAAAAATGACACTGGAAGCAGCCATCATTTTATTTCAAACAACGGTTGTTAGAAATTGTATATTTCAATTTGAATGACCTGGTAGATAACCTCCATTCCCCTTCATGGCCGATGCAGTGAGAAGCACTCTGGCTTGCTTGTGAGGCTGGAAACTCAACCTCGTCCAGGGGGAAAGGGGGGGGGGTTTGGTGAGCAGGGAGGGAAGAGCACTGGGAGGAGTCTTGAGGGGCCAAAATACAAGTGAGCCTGAGCCAGTTCCCCTTCCCTCCCCTTCCAAGAAGCTTTCAGAGATACAAAAATGCCTGTCTAGCAAAAATCAAAACAAAACAGGGAGGGAAAACAGAAAAGTGAAGATGATCTCTGCTCCTTCTCCTGTCCTGCATATGATGATTGTAAGCCTCCAAAATTACCATCTTCAGAGGTGCAGACAATAGGATTGTGGCTTAACAATGCAGGACATAACTTAGTAACAGCTGCATGATTAGTAATAGGGCAAAAATAGAAATCTATTGAAATGCGTACAGAAAGAGACTGGGTTGAAAAATTTTGGGACTATTAATTATGGACAAAATAATGCAAAGAGAAAAAAGAAACAGCTATATAGAAGACTGGTAGTCTGTGGAAAAGATCTGTGAACCAGGGCAAGCTAAAAATGTGAGAACTTAGAAACACTTAAGAACATAAGAAGCACTTTGCTGGATCAAACCAAGGGTGCATCTCGTCTTGGCATTCTGTACACACCGTGCAGGGCTGTCCATGGGAAACAAAGAAGTAAAACAGGAGTGCAACGGCACGAGCACATTTGCACTGGCTCCCTCAAAAGGCACTGCCTTCTGCTTTCACTTAGCACTGAACCAATCAAAATAAAAACGGCCATCAAGGAATATCATTTTTTAAAAAAATTGTACAGCAGGAGAAAAAGTTCTCTTTAGAGCTTCCCAGATTATCTGTTACTTGAAACATCAGCAGAACAATAGGTTACAAAAACCCCCACCAGGAGTTGGCATTTCCAAGAGCACACAACTCTTGGTACATGGGCAATGCTAGCTGGTATGAATTCAGTGCTGAGATGGGAAATTAAAAGCTATGTAAGTCTCGCTTACAGTAAAATTCTAGGTTTAATTAGCTCTATATTGTGGCATTTTACCTGCTCTGAAATGTTCCACACTCTGACAAAACCATCACAGCTTGCTGATGCCTGCACAAGGGAACATTAAAGAGTCATTAGCCTTTAGCCAGCTAACTCCTAGTGCATTAAAATTAAAATTTAAAACAGCATGGGGATCACAAGTCCTTTATGCTTATAAAGTGGCGGACAATACTGGTCCCGAAATGAACCCCTCTGGCCAAGAGGAAACCTAATTAGCGGCCAAGGCAAGCTTTCCTGCAAGGTGACCTGAAGTGAATCTGAGATGGACCTTATTGCGCTAAGCCTTTGGCCCGCCTAGTGGAGCACTGCTGATGCTCACCGGCAGCGGCTGCCTGAGAGTTTCAGGAAAACACTTTTGAGAAGTTCTGCAGGCAAAACAGGGGCTCTGTCACTAAGCTACTGCCCTTCCCAAGACACGCAAGAGCCTTTGCTACCTTTTTGTGCTCTGGAGATTCATTTTGCCTCAACAGCAGCTCAAAAACACGGACATCTTTCACTATTTGGTTCAATAAAACACATCTTTCCTCTCACAAGGTTATGCCATGGTACACCTTCTGGTCTTTAAGGAGCATAACTTCCTCTTTAGGTACAATCCACACCTACTCCTTGAAACTCTGCAGACCTGTCTTGATACCAGGAGGCAGGTGGTTGTTTTGCTGCTGAAGAGGGCTGTTCTCTTCAGATGGCAAAACAAATACACTCCAACTGTAGAAAGAGGGAGTGCATGGCCTCCAAAAGGCTGTATTTAAGCAACGTTCTAGAATACAAGTTTTCTGAAGCTGTCTGGCATACAAAAAAGGCAGTATACCTGGAGAAAAGACTCACAGGATTCCACTCAGTGATGCCACAGCTGTCGTCCCAAACACAACCACACCAATTATCTTTACATTAAAAATACCCAGGGTGAAATCACAATTTCCTGGTAGAGTTATGCTGCGTTCCTTGAATACTGGGAAATTGCACTAGCTGGGAGAATATCAAAAGCATCAACTATATTCACCTTTCACCCAAAAGCTATCTGCTCAAACACATATAGAATTCTCCTCCAAGCCTTCAAAACTGCTGCTGAATTTATCAAAAGTATATATTTAAAGCAGGCAATTGTTGGGTTAACTCTGGATTTTTTAGCCCCTAGATGACCCAGAGTTCCAGGTTTGGACATTGCAACAACCTACGAACAGGCTGGAATTTGTATTTTGGAGAGCTGCCTGGAATTGTGTTAAAAAATCCTTAAACCTCATCTCATCTCAGAATTACAATACCACAAAGAAAGAGAATTGCTATTAAACTGCTTTGACAACACAATCTGATGAGCATTACTACTGAATTCAATGGGACTTATTCTGTGGTAACTGCATAAAAGTTTACAGCCCAGGTCTGTAACTTATTTTTCAGTGTTACGACTTGTTAGCATTTTATTGAGGAATGACATCTTAAAATACAAATAAATAAATGAAAATGTTTTCCTCATGTAAGAAACATGAGATCACGGAATCAGGCCGAAGTAACAGCTGGAATTGACTGACTGCAGAGGGAGCATGCCCAAGGAAACACCAGGCGGACCTTACACCCAGCATGGGAGTCGTACGCGTTTAGAATCATGGCACAAACCATTATGTGAGCAATAAGAAGGAAGTCCAGATGAAAACACATTACCAGAAATATGTCCCTTGGATCAAACGCCACACTTAAAACAGGCGCCTCATGTCCTCGAAAAGTCTTTTGCTGGCTGCTGTCAGTCACCTCCACCATTTTCACTGTAAAGTCACTAAAGATAATAACAGTGCAGTCAGAAATTGTGCAATTTGTTTAAAGTTGGCATCCACATTTTCTGGAAGTCAGTGAACACTGTATTTCCTCCATTTAAAAATAATTTTAATTGTGATTCTGTAGCACTCTGCTCAGGTACACTTACGAAACCATGTACAATTATCCTACCAAAATACAAATGGAGTAGAAAAGAAAAGGGCACAGAAGTTTGTCTCTGATGAGCCTCTGCAGTTTACACATTTCTTTACCTTAGCTACATTTAAGACACATCATATCAGCATGCCTTATCACCGCAGATCAATATAAACCATTAAACATTTACAAGTATCTTTTCTGCATGGACACGCAAAATGATTTACAATGAATTGATCCCAAAGTTCTAATCAAGTTAGAACCACCTCAAACACCACAAACACCAGCTACAACTACTCAGAAAATGAGCAACAGTTAAAAGAGTAACAGTAAAAGCCAGCTGAACTAAGACTCTGTCTAAAGATCATGGAATCATAGAGGGCCACTGGTTTAAGCCTCTGCGCAATGCAGGTCTCCAAGTTAAACCATCCTTCTCAAATGTTGTTCTGAAACTCAGTAAAGTATTGGCTCATGTTATACATATTCTACACTTCTATACATCTGGAGAACTGCAAGTAAGTGCAAGGGGGCTTCATACAAGCAGAACAGCTCTGCATACGTCCGCTCTATGGATGTAACAGCGGTGGGGGCTTAACGTGTCCGCGTAGAAGGAGGAGGGACAGAAGAAGGTTAACACCTGTCCCTCCTTCTGGTTCTGCCCCCAGCCAGAGGGTGCCAGGTAGTCTTGTCAACCGCCCCTCGGGCCTGACGGTGCTGCTGCTCAATGCCAGGTCGGTCCACAATAAATCTTCCCTCATCCATGACTTGATCGTGGATGAGGGGGCCGACCTGGCCTGCATAACGGAGACCTGGGCGGGAGAGGGGGGATGTCGCCCTCTCTCAAATGTGCCCGCCTGGGTATCTGGTTCAGCACTGTTCACGCCCAGAGGGGAGGGGAGGGGAGGGGAGGGGGGGTCGCTTTGGTTTACCGAGCCTCCATCTCCCTCACAGGACTTCCGGTCCCCTCGAGGCCAGGGCTGGAGCGCCTCTACTTGGTGTTGGGCGACCGAGACAGACTGGGGATTCTGTTGGTGTACCGTGCACCCTTCTGCCCAACAGTCTCCCTGCCTGAGCTGACGGAGACCGTCTCGGACCTGGGGTTGAGGACCCCCAGGATGTTGGCCCTGGGGGACTTCAATTTCCAGGCCGAGGAGGTTCTAACAGGGGCAGCTCAGGACTTCATGGCCTCCATGACGGCCATGGGGCTGTCTCAACATGTCTCCGGCCCAACCCATGAACGTGGACACACTCTGGACCTGGTTTTCTCGACGGGGCAGGAAGAGGGTGGTCTGAGGGTGAGGAATTTATGTTTGACACCCCTGTCATGGTCAGATCACTTCCTGGTGAGGTTTGTGCTCGAGAGCGGCCTCTCCCTCTGTAAGGGTGCGGACCAGATTGTGTGGGTCCGCCCCCGGAGCCGGGTGGATTCCTGAAGGCCCTGGGGAAGTTTCTGGCTGACAAGACTGGTGCTCCTGTCGAGGCTCTAGTCGAACTGTGGAACGGGGAGATGAGCAGGGCTGTGGACACGATCACTCCTAAGCGTCCTCTCCCGCCAGGCAGAGCCCACTTGTCCCCCTGGTATACACCTGAATTGCGGGCGATGAAGCAGGCTGGGAGACGGCTAGAGTGTAGGTGGAGGAGATCACGGGATGAATCTGACCGAACACACTTGAGAGCCCATTATCGGGCCTATGCTGTGGCGGTGAGGGCAGCGAAAAAGAATTTCTTTTCTGTTTCCATTGCCTCCTCAAAATGCCGTCTGGCGGAGCTTTTTCGAGTGGTGCAAGGCCTGGTTCATCCAGGTCCTAAGAAAGATCTGGTTCCTCCCTCGAAGGCCCGCTGCGACGACTTTGCCAAGCATTTCAGGGAGAAAATCGCTCAGATTCGTCACGAGCTAGACTCTACTAGTGACTCAGAGGTTTCTGGGGAGACACCAATGCTGCCATCTGGTCCAGAATTATTGGATGAATTTCAGTTATTGCGGCCCGATGATGTGGACAAGGTGCTTGGACGAGTACGTCCCACCACTTGCCTATTGGACCCTTGCCCGTCTTGGTTAATAAATAATTCCAAGCACGGGATTGGGACCTGGATCTTGGAAGTGGTTAACGCTTCTCTGAGGGAGGGTCGGGTGCCTGCCCTTTAAAGGAGGCGGTAGTCCGACCGGTCCTGAAGAAAGCGTCACTGGATCCAGAGATGGCCACTAACTATAGACCAGTGGCCAACATCCCATTTCTGGGCAAGGTGTTGGAGCAGGTGGTTGTGGGACAACTCCAAGCACTCTTGGATGAAACTGATTATCTGGACCCATTTCAGTCCGGATTCAGACCCGGGTGCGGTACTGAATCTGCCTTGGTCGCCCTGTACGATGACCTGTGCAGGGAGAAGGACAGCGGGAGTGCGTCCCTGTTGGTTCTTCTGGACCTCTCAGTGGCTTTCGATACCATCGACCATGGTGTCCTTCTGGATAGGCTGGTGGGATTGGGGGTCGGAGGCACTGCTTTGCAGTGGTTCCGCTCCTACCTCAATAACCGATTCCAGAAGGTGGTGCTGGGGGACTAAGGCTCTGTGCCATGGCAGCGATGCCATGGAGTACCGCAGGGGTCCATTTTGTCCCCTTTGCTGTTTAACATCTACATGAAACCGCTGGGAGAGGTCATCAGGAGGTGTGGGCTGCGGAATCATCAGTACGCTGATGATACCTAGCTCTACCTCTCATTTTCCACCAATCCAGGTGAGGCAGTGGCTGTGCTGAACCGGTGCCTGGCTGAGGTAATGGGCTGGATGAGGGCCAATAAACTGAAGCTCAATCCAGACAAGACGGAGGTCCTGTTGGTTGGTGGATTGGGCTTCGGAGAGGGTGAATTGAACCTTGTCCTGAATGGGGTTGCACTCCCTCTTAGGGACAAGGTCCGCAGCTTGGGAGTGCTCCTTGACCCAGAGCTTTCACTGGAAGCTCAGGTGACAGCAGTGGCGAGGAGCGCTTTCCTCCAGCTTCGGCTGATTAATCAGCTGCGCCCCTACCTGGAGTACGACTGTCTGGCGACAGTGACACATGCGCTGGTGACTTCCCGCCTTTACTTCTGTAACGTGCTCTACGTGGGGCTACCTTTGAAGACGGTCCGGATACTTCAATTGGTTCAAAATAGAGCTGCCAGGTTGCTGACGGGGACTGGGCATTATGTTCATATGACTCCAGTCCTCCATCAGCTTCACTGGCTTCCCATTGAAGTCCGGGCCAAATTCAAGGTGTTGGTGATGACCTATAAAGCCCTAAACGGCTTGGGTCCTGGCTACCTGAAGGAGCGCTTACGTCCATATACGCCCGCCCGCCCCTTGAGATCTGCGGGAGAGGCCCTTCTCTGGGAACCCTCCGTGAAGGAAATTAGGAGGGTAAGTACTCGGAGGAGGGCTTTCTCTGTGGTGGCGCCCAATCTACGGAATGCGCTCCCCAGAGAGGTCCGCCTGGTGCCGTCGTTATTTGTTTTTCGGCGCCAGGCCAAGACCTTTTTATTCAAACGTCATTTTAATTGCTAATATTATTTGCTTAATTCTTCGCCCAGGGCGACTTATTTTATAATGTTAATGTGTTTTATATTTTTAGTGTTTTATATTTTACTGATGTTTTGTAAGCCGCCCCGAGGCTTCGGAGAATGGGGCGGCATAGAAATTTTTAAATAAATAAATAAATACCCCCTCCGCCAGTCTTTCTCAAGGGAACAGTCAATTACACCTTGGAATCCACCCAACACTCGGTCAGTGAATGAATGAGCAGATTACATAACAGCATCTGTGTTGTTTAAAAGACTGTTTCTCTCCAAGCAGCTAGTATGCACCAAAATCCATGAAGGAAGAGTTTGTGCATTTCCCCCCCGATACTTCCGGATCAAATTACCTGGATCCAGCAGCTACTCTGGTCCCATCGGCATTGAAAACCACGTGGTTTGCATTCATGGTGAAGCGTGTCAGGATACCATCTGGAGTGCCCTCTGGGAACGTATGGATCTGGACAGCGTTGTTAGATGCTGCAGTAATCAGCCTTCCATTCTACAGATAAAGTAACATGAGGGATTAGGCGAGGGAAGGATCATCCACTAACCCAAGTGGGAGAACCTCTTTCTAAATAATCATGCAATGGGACACACTGGAGATACGAAGCCATGCACGTACTGATCAGGTTACGGCACTTCCAGGTAAATTCACAAGCACAGTTTAATACACATGCCTGAAATAAAAGATGAGATGTTGGCCCATTTAGGGCATGAACATAAGACCTCCTGGCTTTGCTTGAGAAGACACAGAATTCTTTGGAGTCCCAGCTCCGAATTCTTGTGATTTTGGAGGTGAGACTCTGCAGGCTGAGCTTCCACTCTGCTGCCTTGCAACCATACGGAAAAAACCTTGCTGAATGCCTGCCCCAAGGTCTTGGAAGAGAGAAAACGTGGCATGCAGGGAGAGGGGAGGAGGGTGGGACTGTTAACTTGTGACTATTCCTGTTAGCATCCAGGTTCCTTCCTTGGCTTTCTTCCCGAATTGTAGGACATGGAACAATCAACTTAAACTACAGCACACCAGGTGCAGGCTGGACACAAGGAAGGACTTTGTGAGGGTGAGGGAAATATGACAGTGGAACCAGCTGCCAAGAGAGGTTGTGTGCTCTTCCACACTAGAGGCATTCAAGAAGAAAAGAGACAGTTATCTGAATGGGATGGTGCAACTGGCGTCCTGCAACAGCCGAGGGCTGGACTTGATGGCATTCTAGGCTCCCTTCGACCCAACTATTCTATGATTCCTTCCCTGCCATAGCACCAAACAGCCATGCAGAGAAAATACCTGGCAAAGAGCACACCATAGTTTGCTGCCAGTGCACCTCATTCCAGGCATAGGATGCAAAGAAGCCTCTGAGTTCACAGGTTTGTGGCATGGAGGCCACAGAGCATAGGGATGTACCCTCAGAGGCTGACTTGGTCAAAGAAGGCGATCAAATCCTAATGGCGTCGCTTTAACTTACCATAAGCAGAAGGGGGCAGACTTTTTCCAGGTTTCCTCAAAGAAAATATTCTGCAGAACTGCAGCCTGAGCATTTATCTTAACAAAAGGTAACCTTGCGATGATGTGAGTTGTGTTAAGGTTTGAAGCAAGGATCCGGCTAAAATGTTTGGTAAATATTGCACTGCAGCATGAATATTGGTTCCAAAAGGAGCTGAATATTGCTTCAGAAAAGAATTTGTAACATGAATACTGTATCTGCCCTATTTCTGTTCCACTTTTGCATTCAAGCAGGATGGTCAATGTGGAGGAAATAATTATGCTTGTATAAATAAACATTCTACTAAATTTAGACATTTCTGCCATTTATTCATGATAACACTGAAGATGGAATGATACAAATTAAATAAGCAATACCTGCTCTGTGAACTTTATACACTGCAGCCTTACGTTCCAACGGAGCAAAACTCAGAGAATCAAGATTCAATACTTCCTGATGGTTAGGATCCATAGGGCATGGAATGGGCTTCCTCGGGAGGTGGTTGAAGCCCCATTGGTGAGGGTGTTTAAGGATAAGCTAGGCATGCACGTGGCAGGCATGTCATGAGCAGAGCCAGCTAGAGCCAAGGGTCAGGCTAGATGGCCTGGGAGACCCCTTCTGACTTGCTCTATGTTTCTAAACCCACAAAAAAGTTACTCATCGATACATTTTACTAGTCCAACTAGCCACATACCCAGGTGGTTGTTCTGCCTTTTGTAGCTGACGCTATTACTTCTACACAACTCAATAATCAAAGGTCTTTCGGCAGTGTACAAGAATTCATAAAATACAATAACACGCAGCAACGATCAAAAGCCCAGTTTTTAAACAATTTAAACAATGAAGGTGTGTCAATACATTAAGGCCAGTGAAACCAGATTGGCCTGGAGGGCAGTCTTAACCTGGTGCTGAAAGGACAGGAGGGTTAGTCTCAGATGGGCATCTGCAGCGAGCCTGCCCCATAATTAGGGGCTGCCACAGGAAAGGCCCTCTGCTTTTGGCCACCAGCCAAGCCGCCCTAGAGGTGGCACTCAGAGGAAGGCCTCCAATGTTAAGCATCGTACATTGCTTATCTTCCCAAGGGATCAGGTGAGTTCCTCAGACCTGATAACCTGTGCAGAACGAGCCTGCGGTTATCCAAAGTTGCCAAGCTCTAAACTAACATGACACACAGCTGTGCAAATGAGAATCTCGTACCTAATACACAGGCCTATTCAACCGTTACCAGCAAGTGCTGCAGATGCATAGAAAGAACCAGGTCATCTCCTAGGCGCCAAGGCACACATACTGATGTTAACTGTGATACCTTGAGAGCAAATGAGTAGGCCTTTTCTCCCACGTTAATTGACTTGGGATCGTCATCATCCAAGCTCTCCCAGATCCTGACGTCTCCATCACTGCCACAAGTTACAATGCAGCTATTCAAAGAAAAAACAACATTACGCAAGCATGTACGAAACCAAGCCAACATTGCTCATTCTATGCATAAATATTCACAGAGTTTCATAAACAGTACAGTACCTAAACGTCACATTCCTCAAAAGGTGTATGTATTGGTGACAACAGTCATTCAGGCTAACATTTTACAAGGTGGAACTGCCTTAAGATGGTGTTTGGGTGATTGCAAACTTAAAGATCACAGAGATCAAAACAGAACATTGGGAAAGAGCTGGTCTCTTCAGCACATGCGAATCAAAACTACTATACCAAGAAGACAATGCTGAAGTTCTTTAAAGGCACAATCCTACGCCTGTTAAGACAGAAAAAAGGATTCTAACTCCCAGCATAGCTGGCTGGGTTTTGCTGGAATTTGCAGATCTTTCTTTCTGTCTGAACAGGTACAAGGTTGAGTCCCAAATCTATTACTGACTCTGCTACACTGGAAAGTGACACTGTGCTGAAATCGACTTTTGTGATGTTCAACCTCTGCCATTTTGTGAAAGAGCAGATACCTCCTGCTGCTAGACTTTGCATTCGTCAACGGTGGTCACCATAATAGTTTGTCCTCCTGCCTTTTCGTTATCTTTATCCCTGGTTCAGAAGAACAAAGTGGAACCTGCAAGCTTCCACACAGAGTGACTAGCAGCTCTACTTACCTGTAGTTCAAGTTTGTGAAATTACACTACCTTCATATTTAGTCACACTAATAGCCCACCTTTTCACATAAAGGTAGCCAAAATAGCCAACACACAGTAAAATCTACCCCACCCTGTGAATGAGACATGAAACACTCAGTTGATAACTTTTTGTTGAAGGGGGAAATTGACTGCCATACGATTATGCTGTTTGCTGGCATATCCAACAGTAGATGGTCATTTGTATGCAAACACTAGCACCGGAGCACCGTGGCACTTTAAACATAAGACAAAAACACTTTGCACAGGAAATTCTGTGAATTCCACCAAATTCCTGCCATGCAGATTAAGTATATGGAATGTTCACACAACTTTTAAAAAGGTATATTGATACATCAACATTTTGGGATCTTACCCTGGAAGAACAGGCCTTCACAGCATAACCTAAGCATGTATACTCAGAAGGAAGTCCCACTGAGCTCATGATTTGATCACAGTTACATATGGACTCAATCACTTACCTTCCAGTGTCATCAAAGCAGACATCTGTGAGACCTTCCGTGTGCCCATATCGCATTGGTTTTTGTGATGGAGACATTTTCTCGATCTGTATTACAAAATTTAACAGGGGTTAGCAATTCAAGTGAATGGAAAAATACAGCCAAAATCAAAGTTAATGTATTATTTAAGGAATAATACTCTATTTTAATAGACTTTTTCAAGGTGTTTAACTGCAAAATTGCCAGATCATAAAAGAGCAAAGTCTGCTCATATCCATTTCCGACTGAACTGTAGCTAGAAAAGTGGAAGAACCATTAAAACTGTTAACCAACACCAGTAATATCTGCTTACTCTTATACTGTAATAGTCACTCTAATAAGACCAAATTTACATTTATGTTCAAAATATATTATTTATATAACAGCATCAAGCTGCATGGCACTTTACAGAGTAAATACAGACAAAAGACAAGACTCCCTTCCTGGAGGGAATGATCATTTTAATTTTATATTATTATGTTTGTAACTCAGTGTATTTTTGTATTTAATGGTAATTTATTATGTTCTATTGTATTTCAATGTATTTTATTGTGTTGTAAGCCGCTCCGATTTTTCGGCAAGGGGCGGCATAGAAATGTTATCATCATCATCATCTCTGGAGAAGAAATGCAAGAGGGGTGCCTGAGTTTTTGCAAATACTTAGGGCCTGTTTATTCATTGCATTTTAAAATGAGGGATGAGAACATGTGGCTCTCCAGGCATTGCTGGATTCCAGCCCCCATCAGCCTCATCCTGCATAGCCGATCAACATGGATGACAGGCGTTGTAGTCCAACATGAGTCCATCTGGAGGGCTTCAAGTCCAGCACCCCAGTTTAGACCTTCAAGTTTTACAAACTGCTGTGCATGTTTTTGGATCTTTACACTGCTTCTTGCTTTTATCTTGGCTACTAGTTTGGTTTTATTTTGCTTTAATCTTATGGCTTCAGATTATGTCGCACTGCATTACTGTATTTTATAATTTCAGGCTTTATCTTGTGAACAACCCAGAGAGCTTCAGCTAACAGGGGGTATAGAAATGTAACAAATAAATAAAATTTAAAGAAATGCAACAAATTGGGGTTTGCAAGCACCAGACCCAACAAGCCAGTTCATCCTGCTTCTTCCCAAAAGGAGGATGAAGGGAATTCCAGTTTGCGCTCACATAATGAATGAAGTAAGTGGAGCCAAATGCCATGACCCACGTAAGAAAGACGAAGCTGCAATGCCATCTTTTTTAAACAGACACAAAATACAGTAAATACAAAATTACTGTATTTCCCTCTGTCTTTCCTTAGTGCGTGGGTGGACAGAGAATGGCTGCTGGCAGCAGGCCTGGGAGCTCTCATGCAGCTGGGGAAGGAGTACCGCTCATTCCCCCCTTCCCCATTAGTGCAGCACAAGAGGAGGAGCAGCATTCTGGGTGTGGACGATGGGCACCGTAGTCCAGCTCTGAAGCGTGCTGGGTTGGGGGGGTTGGGGTCTTACCAGAGGCAGGCCGCTAAGTGTCATAGCTCAACGCCCAGAAGCACAGAGCTCCGGATGATGGCCACTGCAGTCCAGCACACTTGGGGGACGGACCGGATGGGGCATGGGTGCTGTAGTGCAGCATAACTAAAGGGGCGCAAACGGGGGGGAGGGGGGGACGTGCTGCAGAGCAGGACAGAGGGGCGTCCCGGCCGGGGGAGGGGCTGCCACTGCAGTCCAGCAGTACGGGCAGGCGCCACGCTGGGGGGTCGCGGATGATGGGGCCTGCAACCCCCCGCGGGCGCCTGTCTGGGGAAGGCCTCTTGAGTCCCCCACGGTAGCCGATGCGGCCGCAGCCTGCGAAGGCAAGCGCCGCCGAGGGGGCGAAAAGCCCCCCGCCTACCGACCCCCCGCTCTCCCCCCGCCCCCGGCGCGGACGAGCCCCCCGCCAGGCCTCCTCACCGCCGCCGGCGCCGCCGCGCTCGCCCCGCCGCCTTCGAGGCTTCCCGCGCTCTCCGCCGAGGCGAGGCGGGGCGGGC